CCTGGAGCACCTCCTCCCCCTCCTTCTTCCCTGACCTTGGTGTCTGCAGAGTTGTTTCTCTCACATACTCTCACCCCTCTCTTCAGCTGCAGTTGCTGTTGCACAACAACTTTTTCCCCTTCTTAAATACGTTATCCCAGAGGTGCTACCACTGTCGCTGATGGGCTTGGCCTTGGCCAGTGGCGGGTCCATCTTGGAACCGGCTGGCATGGGCTCTGTCGGACATGGGGGAAGCTTCTAGCAGCTTCTCACAGAAGCCACCCCTGTACCTCCCCCGCTACCACAGCCTTGCCACGCAAACCCAGTACAGTTAGTTAAAAAGAAAAAACAGCAACAAAACCACCGCAGAAAGCCAGATCCACTGTATTGTCCCTCTCCTCCAGGGTATGTAGGGAGTCTGCAGTTCCTCCCAACCTGTGCTGTTCTGATTCTGCCATACAGTGTCAACATAATGCACAGAATCAACGTGGAACAAATTGCAACATAAGACAAGTTTCCATATCTGTATATCCATCTGTAAATGTAAATTTTTCTTTTACTAATTTTTACATAAGTTGCAGGCCTCCTGTGCAGCAGGGCTTCTGTGCACTAGCCCTCGGTGGGGATTTTGCTGGCTGTCCCCAACCTCACAGACAGGAATGTGACGACGCAGGCTGAGTGCGAAAAACAGCGCGTAGGAGAAAGTCGCATTGTGCTTTACAAGGCCATGTTTGTCTGTTTTCCAATATAAAACAGCTAAACAATGATGAGCAATCTTGTTTCGTACAGTATTGCTCTCTTAAACCTCTATTGTGCTGTATGTGTACTCACACACTTGGATGACTGCTAGAAAAGTTTTAGTTGAGGTCCTGACTGGTTTAAAAGCATTGGAGTGACCTCTGGTTCAGCTCTTTGGTCTGCTGTGTAACCTCTGCGTTCAGCATCAGGACGGGATCTTTAGGATCTTCAGGGCCTTTGCATACTGTGTCTTGCAGGAGGTGAAACTGCCTTGAGCATCCGAAAACCTGTATGGAAGCTTGAAGGTACCAAGTTGGGATTCCTGTTGCAGGGAGGAACTAAGAGGAGGCACAGGATGAGAGACAGACAGGGGTGAGGACAGGATGGGACAGGAGTGATCTTTTTTCCCCTGAAGTATTTCATGCTGTCCCTAGCTCTGGTATTATTCAAACTCCAGCAAACCATTCAAAATAATTGGCTGCCTCGAGGTGTGCTGCCGCTCCTGATACTTTGTCATTTTAAAGTGCCGTGGATTTTCAAAAGGAACTCTCTGTTATTGCAAAGACATTTTTCATGTTCTCAGCTGAAAACAACGTGTGCGTATGAACACAGATACTAGGGCTTTCCTCTTCAGTGGCATGTATGCTTTATTAAGCATAGTGATTGCCATGTGTGCTCAATGTCTGCTTATTCCTGGAAAGAGAGCTGTGCTCAAAATGCCCATAGCTAGTCCTTCTGTAGGAGAAGGATGCCTACAATTAGACAATGCTGCCCTGTTGTCTTGCTTAATGGATAAGGCAGAAGCTTTTTCTCTGAGCAGGGTATGTTTTCAGAAATAGCTTTCTGGGTTGTGATGGACTCTGCAGCACCCTAAATCTTTTGAAAAGAGACTGCATGTCATCTGGCTTATTGGAGCTCCTAATGGATTGATGCTTTAATTGCACAGGCTATATGAGAGAGCATTGCAAGTTATGGCTGGATAGAGAGCAATTCAGATCTGTATATTTATGGCAGTTGGAAAAAAAAATATTTGCAGCCCCACTGAGGTCTTTATTTTTTTTCCCCTTCTGAAACCATAACAGCTAAAGGTTGATATTTTCTTCGGCTCTTTTCTTCAGCGAGCAGGAAGGCTGGACCTGGCTGGCTGTTGTTTGTAGCGTGCAGGAGTAGGATGCGTGTGAACTTTTCCTCCCTAAACAGGCTGGGGCACAGAAACACCATGTTCGCTAGGAATATTTTGTTACCTTTTCCAGTCATCCAGCCACCTCAGCACGTATCTTTCAGAAGTCTCAAGTGAGCAAGTCGCCAGTCAGTGAGCAAGAGGGACTGATGATTTACCATTATTTTGTAGTTGCTGAATAAACAAACACACTGTTCTTTCTGCTTTGCCCTTTTTCCCCTAGCATTTTTGGGATTGCTTCAAACCTCAATGTTTTTATCAAAGCTGAATTATACTAATTGATGAGAGAGAAAAATGAATGAGGGAGAAAATAAATAATAAATTGCAAGAAAAATGAATTCACAGAAGCCCAAAGTAAAAAGGCTCTGAAATATGAAATGAGTCTTTCATTGCCTTGAATAATATAATTATCTAGCAAAGCCTGTTTCCTTGTCAAGTATGGTGTGCACTTGAACTCATTGCATATGCTCCCACTTCACAAAGTTCCTGTGTCTCCCAGGGGGTCGTGAGGTTGAGGTTGGGTAACAGCATGATAATTGGTCCTTTAATATTATGTGCAAATGTGAAACTGTGGACATATATGATATGCCCCAAATTATCAGCTTGCTGCTGTAAGCAGTATGAAAATGAAGAAATGAAAGGGTCTTTTTGATAACGTTTTTGTGTACAGGAAAAGATGGGGAATGTCTTCTTTCCTCTTTCTTCTCCTCTCACTTCCCTAAGACTACTAACATACTTTGGTTTTCATTGTGTGGTCAGGCAGTCAGTTATACTTCCCCAGCTACGACAAGAGCATGGATGCATCATAGTATTTAGTATTATCACATCTATTGCAGTTTCAACAAATACGAGCTGTCAGTCCAGAACTTCATTGCACTTGGTGCTGTACAGGCATGAGTATTCGTGTTAGCTTGTTGCACGATATTCTGTCAATATTGCACAATATTGCTGTCAATATTCTGATCTTCAAACAAAAATTTCAAACAACTGAAAATTAAATACAAGAAGTGATGCTTTTGTCTGTGCACAGTTTTAAAAAATAGCCAAAAGCTGGACTTCTGAGGATAACAAGGGTTATTTTTAATTTATGGACTGCTTGTGTTACAGTAGTTCCCGGAAGCCTTACTCAGGCTCTGAGTCCCATTTTGTGAGTAGAAGTCGCTTGCTGCCAGGAGTCCAGTGTAACTAGAAATGCATCTTGGCTGGTGAATGCAGAGTGCAGAAATCAAGGGTGGTATTAACAGAAGCATGAATTATGACCGGGAAGTCGGCGAGATGGCTTGAAAGGGTAAATGTGCGTACCCGGTAGCACTGTGTAGTCTTGCTCAGTGTGGGGCAGTGGTGGAGCTGAGAAAAGTAAACCTTAATCTTGCTTGGTCTTCTGCTCTGACCGAACGTGGACGCTCGCGTTCCTTGGCCCATGCTTACGGTACATTACAGAATGCCAATTTTCATTACTTACCTTGGACTGCTTTTTCTGTCCATCTTGCTGCTATTTGCAGAATCGTGCCTTGTTTTCAGTGTGATGCTGCAGTTCAGCATCACATGAGTCACAGTCCTGGGGCTGCATCTTTCAGATAAGCCACTTGCTATTTGGCATAACTTGCAAGAGAAGGGATCATGCGGATGTGATTGTACCAACCCGTATCATTTGGCATACAGGCAGTGATTAGTATTGAAGAGCAGCCTGGGGTAGCCTTGCAGTATCAGCTACTTCGGTTAAGACTACTTTGTTCTGACAGCATTAAATAGGTCAGTGCTCAAACATGTACCACTAAAAGCTAGTATGGGAAACTGTACATCCAGCATAGGTATCTATTTCTATTAAATTCCCTTACAGAGCTACACTGGATCATATCCAGAGGACTTGAATAAATATATAGACGTGAGCCTGTGCACTTTTTGTTCACCATTTCTCCATACAGATAATTTCTGCAATCCACCTACGTGCGTGATGCTGGTATCTGTCCTGTCGGTGATGTGTTCTGTGCCTTGTTCTCATACACCTTTCAGTACATAGAAAATTAAGGGGGAAATGACATGGTCAGAGAGCACGTGGGTGAGGAACAGTGTCTGCTACTCTCGATGACAGCAGTAGTGGCTTTGTCTCAGGCTTCAGGCATGCCAGGATGTGATGCATTCCTGTTGCGGTGTCTTACGCCAGGTAGAACTAAAATCTTGGAAAGAAGCCCATTCCTACTGCAGTATATTATTTGTATTTATCATTATGCCTTTTGATTTATTACTTGGACAGTGTGATTACTTTTCCTTCTTCCTTTCTGCTGCTATTGAAGCTTTGTTGTCTGTAAGTAAAAAATGTGATGATCAGCAGCTATAAAGCATTTTGTATCTTCAGAGTGTTTAGTGGACAATAAATGATAAGCTGTTCTTCTCTACCACAAAGTTGGTCTGTCTTTGCAACTCGTAGTTTTTTTTCTTCTTTTCTTTTTTTTCTTTTTTGTCATTGCTTTGAACGATGCGGGCTCAGGTATGGAGGACAGGCAGTAATTTTAGGGCTAGAATATTTGACCATATAAATCCAGTCTCCCACTGATAGACTTCCCCTTCAGTTGCTGAACAGAGATGTAGGTTGGAACAGTAGGTTATGCAGGGGGGTGTCCTGCTACCCATTTCGCCTAGGTGTGATGAGTTGGCATGCTTTGCACTCTCACTTTTGATCAGGGAAGAAATGCTTTTATGCCTCTGTTGGTGATGCATTCGGTAGCTGAAGTTTTAATCTTGCCCTCAAGATGGGCAGAGAGGGATAACTGGCAGCCACTGAGCAGCCCGAGAGGTGTCTTTGGTGCACACCTAGCCAAGTGCTGTGGCTGGTGAGTTCCCTGGTCTCTGCTACATCCCAAAGGAAGCAGAAGGAAGAGCAGCATGTCTAGCTTCCGAGCTAAGAAAAGCTTGTGCTGCTGCCAGCAGCTAATGCTATTTTTCAGCCTGTTGATGTTAGACTTGTTCCAGCTCAGGACCCCAAACGCGTGTGTCTCTGCAGACACCCCGTTGCTGAGAGGCACGCTGCCCTTTCCAGCTCACCTTGGTGCGTAGGGTGCAGAGTGGCCGGCTGCCCCGGGAAGGAATTTTTCTGGTCTGTTAAGATCATAGTTGTGTGTTAGCTCACGTTAGGCGAATCCTGTTCTTGACATAGAGGAAATCTGCCCTCCCTAGTGACAGTACCATGCTTATGGCCAAGTTATGAGTATGTAACAAGAAGAGACAATATGCTCATCAGTGGTTCATTGCCAGAAGTCTTCTAATGGACATGTATTCACATCAATATTTAAGGATATGTTAGTTTATATGGAGAGTAAGAACATTGACTTCTATGGTAGATTACGTAGAATATGTGTCCCTGTGCTGCAGGATATAAATCAATTTAAGGAAAAAAAATTGAAAGATATAATGCTGTAGAGTGGCTCTTTTGGAACATGTATAGAGTTACAGATTCTGGAGCTCTATAGAGATATAAATATACAGATAGATATGTCTTCAATTTCTTGCTAGAAATGTGATGACTTAGAAATTATTTGTTACACTGGTTATATAATACAATACAGCATATGTAGTCCAACACATTACTCCTTTCCCTTATTTAAAAACAGAAACAGTGTCCCTTAGCAGTGGTCATACGTTGCTGTATATTCCTCCTACTGAGTACAGTACTGGGGCCGGATCCTTCTGCAGCTGTGCGTTATCCTGATCCTTTTGAAGTTCTCTTTTTTTATGGTAGTGGGGTTTTTTGTAGTTATTTTTCCTAAGACGTGCAAAATATGTAGGTTAAAAAGTTAGACTACAATGCAAACTATGTGCAGCTCTTTACGCTAAACTTTATATACTGACTTTTGTAGCAGCCATTACCAGCACAGCTGCGTGCTGTGATACAGAACCTGGGGAGTGTGTGATTGCTGCACGTCACCTGCAGCCAGTGCAGAGCGTCGGGCTGGGGAGGGTGAAATGCAGACCTCTCCTGTGCTGGGAGCAGACTAACGACCCAAGCACAAGTTAGTCAAATGCTGTATTGAACAGAACAGGATTCTGCAAGGCCGGACTCTGGCTTAAGCAAAGGCCATAATTCACCAGACAGACATATTAATTTATTAGTCAAAATTCCATTTGCTTGGGAAATGGCTCAATAAGGGACATATATTTCCTGTTCAACATTTACCTTGAGTGGAAAGTTAGACCTAGACTTTAGGATTTTGAGATCTTTGTAGGAGTTTCCTCCTATAGTGAAAATTTACTTCCCCTTTTGTGTGAATGCCCAGTCGTACACACCTCCATCAGTGGTGCTCCTTGAAGTCTAGGTTCAAGTCCTAGTCTTGCTAGGCTTCTGGGTCATTAGAATAAAATAGAGTAGAATAGACTATTTCAGTTGGAAGGGACCTACAGTGAGTCGAGTGTTTGAGGTTTTGGAGAGGGGGGGATTGGTATGTCAGATTCATCATGAGTAAACATTCCCTTTACTTTACCTTACCTGTTTTGCAAGATTAAACCCCTGTCTTTCAGTTGGCTCCATGCAAACATAAAGATCAGCTGTGTAGGATGCTGGAGTCAGGTTGCTTTATAAAAAGAAGAGAGGAGCCACTTGCACACTTCAAATGTTGCCAGGCATCCTGACTAATGTCCCAGACAAAAAAAATCTAACTCTGGCAGTACCTAATTTCCTCCTGTATAGTCTGTTGCATTCTGCTTCTGCTTGTATGTGCTGTTTTCGTTTCCTATCATTGTATAGCTTTTGTGTTGCCCTGTTGAGGAGCTTTTAATAATGTGACTTTTGCCGCTTTGTTTTCCTGCTTGAAGCACAGAATAAAGCTTTGTGTGAGTGGCACCCATGGCAGGGGTGAAAGTACTTACACAATGGTACTGTATTTACAGGGAGGGGTGATTCTAACCAAGCTTTATAATACCTTAATTATATTTTATGTGACCTAGCCCGTGACAATCTCGAATCTAAGGTTGTCAAACAGGGTTTAAATATTATGAAGATTTCTGGACAGTGCCCACAGCTGAGCTGTATTTCACTGTGTCAGTAAGAAAGTAAAGAGATTCTGTAAAAGTGGAGAGAGAGGTTTTTCTTGGGATTTTTGTCTTTGGCTTAGTGCACCTGATCAGTAAAGCCAGATTATTTCTCTGCTAAGTTCTGCAGATTTTTTGTGCTAGCAACAATATGTAAAGCCCACTCAAAGAAATTAAGAAACAAATATTTTAAAAGTATTTTATGAAGCTGACTGGGGAGGGGGTTTCTCTTTCTTACATATGTTTTCTTAGTGACATGAATTTAATTTCAGGGCTCAGCAGATTCGTACACAAGCAGACCCTCAGACTCTGATGTCTCTTTGGAAGAAGATAGGGAAGCAATCCGCCAAGAAAGAGAACAACAAGCAGCTATACAACTTGAAAGGGCGAAGGTGTGTTCTTTTCAACTTTAATAATAACTAAGTTATGTGGCATTTATCTTTTGCCTAGTGTTAAAATTCACACTGTTTGTTTTATAACGATGATGCAATCTTTTGAAATAGTTTGGCAATTGAGTCAAATTACCTGCAGACAAGACATTTGGGGGAATATAGTGTAAATATTCTCATATAAATGGGGATCTTTTCTAGTGACCTGAACTCTGCTGGCTTGTGTGAAATTATTAGCTCTGAATTTTGATGTATTTGGCAAATGTTCTCTGCTAGGTTTTCAGTAATTTGATACAACAAATGAATTCTTCATTCAGAAAACTTTCCACTGTTTGTGATGTGTGTTTCTATTTGTAGTCCAAACCAGTAGCGTTTGCTGTTAAGACTAATGTGAGTTACTGTGGAGCTCTGGATGAAGATGTTCCTGTCCCAAGCACTGCCATCTCTTTTGATGCCAAGGACTTCCTACACATTAAAGAGGTAAAACCAAGAAGTAGTAAAAGGGAATATGAAAGGGAATCTTTTTACATGCCAAGGATCGCGATTTGAGCAGTCAGGCTGAGCCATACCAGATTAAAAAGAGAGCCAAGAGCTGAGTGGAGGCAGGAGAGCACAGCACATCGCCTGATTGGTGATGATGTAGTGATACTTCAGCTTTTTTAGAGTTCTGGCACCCTGGGGTGGTTATCTTGCACATTTTTAATGCTTGATGTTACCAACTTGTTGGATTTTCATGTCACAGGAAGGAAATAACATCTTGCTATATTTTAAATACCCTTCAACACGGTAGATTCAGATTCTTTTCATCAGACGAAGTTTGTGATGGAGCAGAGATTAAGTGATCTATTGATCAAAAAGTGAAGTAGCACCAAGTTACACCAGGTCTTCATAAAGCACCAGATAGGCTTGTAAGGGAGGAAATAAGACTTAGAATAATATGATAAGAAAAGAAAATATTGAAGAGGACAGATACAAAAATAAGGAAAAAGGAATGGGAATAAATGGGCCCTGAATATGGCATTGGTAGAGAAAAATACGTTTTATTGCATGTTGAGCATATTTTCTGCAATTCTTTGTCTGAAGTGAGCCCTCCAAATTTGCATAAACCCCTGTTGTTTTGTGGATTTGTACATAGGCTTGCAGTCTGCAAAAACATTTTTTCATCTCTGCATTCTGGATTTATTTTAGGGTGTTCAGTACTCATTTGTCTCTCTCTTTGGACACATGTCCGTCATTGCTCCAGAGCACTGATCTCCCATAGACTGAGCACATCTAGGAGGAAAACACCTGCTTCTGCACCTCTAGAGGCAGAGATTGACAGTAGAACAGGGGGTTTTGCTGTTCTTTCTCTGTGAGAAGGACACAGGAGAGGCAGTTGATTCCCTTGTTCCATTTTCTCCATTTGCTGCAAACAGATGGAAGTTTGATGGGGATTTTTTTATTTGTTTCTTTCGCGTGTTTCTATTTTTTTAATATTTGTGTGGAACAGTGCTTAAATCCCTACTGAGGAAGGGGAGCGCTGAATCTGAATCTGCCTATCTCTGCATGCAGAATTGGTTGTCCCTCCTCTTTGTTCCCCAAGAATGTGTTCTGTCCTGTCTAGCACCACACCTGAACTCGCTTGATGTACGCCACCTTCTAACCCTGCTTCCCATCAGGAAAAGGTCCTTTGCTAGCACTCAAAGTTGAATGCAGGCAGCTACATCTATTAGAGCACTCAGATCACTTTCTCAGCTACCTTCCCCGACATTTTCCCATCCACAGCTGAAATGTACCCTACCTGGCATACTGTCTTTCTAGTGTACACTGTCCTGTGGAACCATTCGGGTACCTCAGTGCATCACCATTAAAACAAGTATTTGATCTTGGTTTTCCCAGGATGTGGCTGACTTTATTGTCAGGCCAGCAATTGAATTTAATGTGCTAAGCTCCTGTTCTGCTGCCCAGTACGTTTTTCCAGAGAAGTGTCCCAAGTCCATATGTTGGCATTCTGTGAGTTTTCTTCCAAGATCTAAATGACCAGGATTGCATTGCCACTAAACCGTAAGCCATCTGGCTTACTGGTATTTGTCAGCTCTGCTAAGGGTTTAGCATAGTTTCTTTGTTAGCACTGAAACTTTCAGCTTGGCTGAAGCTGTGGCTGTAACTCCGTAGGATTTCAGGAATGGTTCCCCACGCTGGAGTCTGTAGCTGCATGGAAAAAGGCTTTGCAGAATTTGTTTTTCAATGATCTGGCAGGCTTGCTTGGACTAGAACAAGCATGGTTCCAGATTTTAGAATAACGCTAAACTAGGTAAGCAGTAAGGTCAGCCTGCTGACAGGATGAAACATCAGCAGTAACTGATGAGTTGCTATATTGAGAATGTGTCCTGTATGTCTCATCTGTCTCCTACAAGACTATACGTGAAGCGGCAACAATTCCTGACAATGCAGAAGAAATCATGGGCATGGCAACCAATAGGAATGAACTGTTGTCCTCCCACATACTGAATGCAAAGAATAACATATGGGAGGTAATGACCTAGTGCAAATAGCCCTGCGTTCCTTGCTGCATCGTTATCATTTGTATTGTTCAGATATTCTCAGCATAACGTTGATTCTGATCTCATGTCTAGAGGCATCACTCAGAGGTCCATGACCTGCTAATGGAAGAAAGATTCCCGTGTTCGAGCCGTACATTTAGAACCAAAATAGAATGGGTTATGCTCATGGGACTCAGGTTTTACAGTGGTTTAAATCCATTGATTGATTTCACTGATTTACAACAGCAGAATGCTAGATCCTGAAGTATTTGTCTATTTTAAAGAATGTAAATAGTTCCTTCGACTTAAGCAGAAGCAACGTATTTAAAAGTAAGCTTTGCTTACTGATATTGTGTGAATCAGGGTCATAACAGGATGAAGAATAGATACTTAAAAAGTTGAAATGATAAAATAATGGAATCTCTTGCATAAATAACAGCTATATAAAGAGGACAGGTTTTCAAGATGAGGGTATAAGGACTGCATTTCCCTTAGTTGTGTATGTTAATATTTGTGTGTATGTATGGGTTAATAAAAAGGCTAATTTGTTGTTCAAAGATGTTGAGGCTCTGTATGTTTCAGAGACTTCAGTTAGGTACTGTTGTACCTTTGACAACTATGACATGGTATTTATGTGTTTCTGCAAGAACTTAAGTGCTTGAGAATATGGAACCAAGAGAACTGATCATTTTTAAGACAAGATTTCTGTGATAACTTTTTCCTCAAGGCATGCAAACAAGATTGGTACACTCGTGCTGGTCTTAATGACTTGAAAGTCTGTTGTGAAAAGTAATGTTTCTTTTGAACACTGAGGTGCCTAATGAAGCATAGCAGAGTATAAGGTTTTCAGATATTTTTCTTCAAAAGCTCTGCTGGCAGCCGGCTACAACAAACCCTTTTCCACTACGATATCCACTATGATATTGCTTTTAATCTTTCCATCATTAAAGTTAGGCCAGACTTCCAATAATGCAGAAGAACGTATGTTACTAAAGGTTAATGATAAATTTAAATTTTATATTTTCAGGTATATATTAAAGTTTCTTCCTAAAGGTGAATTTTTCTTCAACTGTCATAAATTTAAAAGTGTATGCCAACAAAGAGTTTAGCTACTTCTAGGCAGCGGCACTATAAAAGCCTCATTTGTAGAGAGGTGTTAGAGCTCTACCACAGCATTAACCAGATACGGGTTTGGTTCACTGCTGGAGCTGATAAGTTTTCTATGTTGTTTTGGATAGGTTGGTCTGTCTTTATTTTGGTTTCTAGAATGGTGTTTGTAGATCTTTTCCACCACACAAGGTTTTTGCAAAGGAATAACACATTAATAACATCCGTACAAGTACCTGGAAAGGAGGAGGGAAAAATGGTGGCAGTGGTGGTGGTGATCTTTGGTGTAGACCATTAAATTTTACAAGGAACCAATAACGATGGTTTTGATGGTGATCTGAAGGTGTTATTTTTACGTTTGACTGCTTTATATGGCCGCTGTGAGGTAGTTTGGTGGCCTTGGTTCACCAAAAATTGGTTCGTCTCATTAAATCACTGTCACACTCGGCACCTTAGTTGGTGACATCAGAGGAAAAGTCACAGCAGGATGCATTGGGGCAGTTAAGAGATAAGCCAATACTGCCACAGATAACACCGCTTTCCACTGTCCAGCTGCAGAGAAGACACCAACCTTCCAAATACTGCCTAGCACTTTTTAACTTCACTTAAATTCACACGGATTGTCCAGCATTGAGACGTCAGCGTGAGTCTGGTTTCGTTGACCAGTATGGAGTTAAGGATTGTGGATAACAGTATAAGGGAGTTTCGGACATGGAACATTTTGTACTGAAGCCAGTAACCTTTCTGTGTTCCAGAAATATAATAATGACTGGTGGATAGGAAGGCTGGTTAAGGAGGGCTGCGAGATTGGCTTTATTCCAAGCCCGCTTAGACTGGAGAATATCCGCATTCAACAGGAGCAGAAGAGAGGACGTTTCCATGGAGGGTAAGAATGCTGTAACCTTTTAAAATAATTTAAAATAATTTCTGACACCAGACAATATTTTCAAAGGTCACTTGATTCTTTTTTATTGCAGTGCATTTGGAGGAGTGTTTGATTTGGGATTCCAGATGAAAATACTTATTTGCAGAGAATAGACATGCTAGGTATTGACGATGAAAAACAAGAAAAAAATGTGTATTGACTTTAGGAAAGATCAGTAATACAGTATGAGTGGTAATGACAGAAATTTTTGAAGGGCTAGAGAGTTTTATGTCCCCATGGGTTTAAGTCAACTTGGTGCTCAAAGGCTGCCAGATTTTTTTCCCAACTGTTATGTTCTTAAGGTTGTGGGTTTTTTCTTTCTTCTCTTTCTTTCTCTCCATTTTGGCCAAAACCAGACTTTTCAAACTTTACAAGATGAGCTTTGTCGTTTGACTTCCTTTATTCTTTGTCTTTCAGCCTGACCATTCTGTGTCTCCACGCTGCTGGAGCTGGAGATTGCAAGTCCCTGGAAAAATATAAACTTGGTCACAGGTCTAGGAAGTAAAACTGATTACTCATAGTCTCAGTTCAGACACTGAAGTCACTCTTCTATTGGCTGAATACACAAAATACTTTTCTCTTTTTTTTTTTTTAATTACTACTAGCATATTATCCCACTAATTGAAAACGAAATTTAAATGTTCACACAGATAACAAGGACAACAAAACCTTTAGTACTGCAGAGTAAAGAGACATAAGCCAATTGAATCTGGACCTAATATATAGCAGTAAGAGGAGCATAATTTAGCCTGTATAGTACTGTCAGGGAATTGGCATACTAATATACTTAATCAAGGTCAGGAATCATTTCAAGTATAAGCCATCTGGGGAAATGTTTTTAGAATGATTGAACAGCATTAACTGTGCTTTTTCCAAATTGCTTTTATAATTTTTTAAAAAGCTTCAGAGGAAGCCAGTATATCTCAATGTACAGAAAGAAGATTATCTAATTCAGAGAGATGACACTAACAGAGTATTTAGGATACTGTTTCAGATACAGCATATTAGGAAAATTCTCTGCTTGTGTGAATGGGCATGACTCCACCGAATCATCAATACTTGCAAAGATTTTCTCTAATCTCACCTATGGAGAATATTAGGAATAAAATCAAGTATGAAAGAGACAGGGGAAATATTGTAAAGGATATCTATTAAGATTCTAAGTAGTCTGCATTAACACTCTTGGATTTGTATGATAAAATTAGAAGTAATGTATAATGATAAAACAGTTTATTTTTGAGCACCTTTGTTAGATATAGTTATATAGTATCTGTTCCTTAAGATTCCTTTAAAAACTGTGACTAACTGTGATACTAAGGCTCTATGTGATGAAGAAGAGTTCTCGTTTTGTCTGAGTAAGGCAGTGAAAAGTCATCTGTTAAAGAGGCTTTCTAGAGTCTAGTATATGTTCGCAAAGGATTTACGAAGTCTGGGAGTAAATAATCCCTGCTCTGGAGAGCATACGGCAAGAAAGCAAGGACAGAATACTGACTGGGACTCCTGTCCTCTTGCTGGTCAGTCTGTATGTAATGAAAAATACTAAATACTGTGCTAAAGATGTGGATTGTACCACAGGACTACGTCACCTGCAGTAATTGGTAGCTTAAACAGTCCTCTTCTTTCTGCCCTGAGCTCTCCTTCCCTCCTCCCATCTCCTCCTCAGCTGGTTGTGCAATGAGCTGAATTAGAGAGCTGACTCACCTGAACATCTTTCCCCTCCCCAAACCAGTTTCCAGTTCCAGTCTGCTGCGGTGTGATGCTGCATCACACGGGGAGAGGAGGGCAGGGCACAGGGGCAGAACTGCATGGCTGGAAGCAGGGAGGTACAGCGAATGGAAGAAGGAGCTACTTAAACCACTGTTGCTACACAACAAAAGCTATTTAAACTGCCAGTTAAGACCCCAAACCTCCCAAGAGATGTGTCTGGCTAGTTATGTATGCTGGTAGAGAGACCCAGCAAGACAGAGGAGCGCTGGGTGGGGGGATCTTGTGCAGAGCTGGGCTATGCGCTGAGTTTAGCAGATGTCTATGACTAGAGCTGCTGTGTTTCCCAGCCTACAGGTAGATCACAGAAAAGCTTTGCTCAGTCTGTAGTGGAACCTGCTTTCCCCTCGTAGCCTGTACGCAGCTCTCCAGACATGGGGGTCTACTTCATTACAGATGCTTTGGTTTCCCCATGTCCCTGCCTGGTACTCTTCACCTCTCACTTCAGAGGAAGCTTTCTTGCAGCATGAACGTGGGTGAAGACTCTCCTTTACCGTGTGATTTCTCAGGGGGCGATTTCTCATAGCTGCTGCCTGAAACCTCACACGTTTGCATCTCTGGGCACTTGGTGTTAATGGGGCTCTTTCTGATACCGTAGGAAATCGAGTGGAAATTCTTCTTCAAGTCTTGGAGAAATGGTTTCTGGCACATTTCGAGCCACACCCACTTCCACAGGTAAGAGAGAATTTTATTTAAGGAAACTCCTGCTATTTCTAATACTTCTGTTTTAAAAACCGTACATGAAAAATGCGGGTTTCCCCCCTTCGCTGACTTATTAAGACGTTTTACAGAAAAGTGCTTGCGTGCGGAGGTGGAGAAAGACAGCTATTTCTAGACACGCGGTAGTTGCTAAGGGACTGGGGAAAAATCTTGGGAAGAGTGGCAGCTGCCCCAGAATGGAATGAATGGCAGATTTAAACAGGGCTGACCAAAAGAGAGGTGCACTGAGAGAAATCGAAAGTGCATTGATAAAGGGATGTTTGTTTGCAAGTGTTACGGTTGTTATACACAGCGTGTATTTTTTAACCAAGTTCTCATTTGGTCTTTTAGCAAAACAGAAACAAAAAGTGGTAAGTAGTCCTTTCATTTTCATTTTATTTTATTCTAATACATAATTCCCAGGATTTTCTTATGGAACTTCTTTGGTTAATGATCTGAAGGGTTGTTTTCTTCTTCTAGACAGAACATGTTCCCCCATATGATGTAGTACCATCAATGAGACCTGTTGTCTTGGTGGGTCCATCACTGAAAGGCTATGAGGTATGTATTCCAGGTATTTGCAATTAGTTAATATTTTCTTATCTATAATCTTCCTTAGTACATTCGGTGTGTGTGGTCCAGTGCAACTGTTATTAATTAATTAATTGATAATTTAAAGTGATCTTAGCTTAAATAATTGTCAAAAACGCTATATAAGAACTAAGAGCGTAGTTAGCACTTTGCGCCGTTTGGGTGAGGTACCAGCTGAATTTTTTTCTACCTTGCAACAGTGCCTGTTGCTTGTGATGTCTCAGCTGAAGGGTAGGTAACATAAGTACACTGGTGCTCTCTTTGCAGTTTTACTGCTTTAAACACAGCGCGCATCCATTAATTTCAGTACAGTCATTCTTGATTAAATCACATAAGAAAAAGAGAATTTGTCTGCTACAAGAAAAAGTTGGAGCAGTCAAATTAACTAGCTAGACTTCTGTATACATGTAAAATTTTAGTCAAACTAGTACATGCTTTGAACTTAATTAGCAAAAATTTTGAAGAAGATTCCCCGTTGTTCTGCTTTTTTCACTTATAAAAACTTTACATCTTGCCATGAAACTCAGTCTTGGCGAATGAAGTAGCTGGACTACTGCGGCGTATTCAGTTTTGTTCTCCAGCACCTGCAACTGAATATGGGAACTAATGATTATTATTTCAGCATGTTTTCTTGACATTTATTTGTTTTAAGACTATTAGTATATTGAAATATATATGTAAAGAAACCTTTAACCCTTCTAAATTATTTGCCTCTGTTCAACATGGAAGTAGGTATGATAACATGCAGAACAGGACACCCATTTTTCAAGGCTGCTGCAGATTCAAATGAGCATTTAACACGTGCTAAACGAGCATGGGCTTTTAGCAGGGCATTTTAGTGAACTTAACCATCTGTTAAGTGTTTTGCTGAATTAGGAACTAAATGAACATGAACATAAAACCAGATACACTTCCTTTAGCTTAATTAATGTTGTTAGTACTTTATAGGGTATTATTAAACATATTGGAGTGGTTCTTTTTGGAAGATTACAACATGGTACCATTATTAGCATAATGCAGTGTTCTTGCATTGTTGTTTTTGTAAGAATGATTGAAAGTGTAGTTTAGCAAAGCAGGTACTTAATGTTTTACTCTCTGCCTTTTAATTTTATGGTGATGTTTCTTGACAGTCATCCATTGACTTCCGTGGTGCTGCACCACAGATTAATTTGCCTAGGGACTTTCAAGTTTGGAGGGGAGAGAGGCTGTTTGTTAATACATACCTCTACAAATATGCTGTCCTGCCTTTGTTTGAGAAAATAATATTAAACATGACATCTTGAACATATAAAGGTATATAAATGGTAACACAGAATATTAATTTCAATTGCAAACAGTGGTCTACATATCAGAAACGCATTGATCTTACTTTGCAACCTATGTGGGAAAATTCTTTTGACTGTTTTTTTTCTGACTAAATTCTGAAGGAACCATTTTGAAAGATAAACTAGGAGAAATAAACTGCCAGAGGCCTGGGGGCTTTGATTAAGTTCCTGTCTAGACTGGCAGATAATAGGTGTCAGCCTGAGTTGTCCTGAAAAGGACAAGGAGCTCATTCAATAAAGTAGATCTTGTATCTGAAGTTTTAAGCCAGTTCTAATAAAGTTACTGTAGGAAAAAAACAAATTATCTATTCAACCCAAATAGTCCCATACGCTTCTGACACGTTCTGAAGCCTGTTGGGAGTGGTATTGCTATGGAAGGTGCTGAGGTGCGCTCTCATGCTTCAGCGCAAGTCAAGACAAGAGCAGAAAGAGTGACAGCTCTCACATCCTCCGTTCCGCATTTTGGAGAATGAGTCAGAAAACTTGCAAGTATTTATTACAAAGTGTGCTGCCAAGAGCATGAAAATTAAATGATTGCTACCTATAAAAGGTATTGATTGTTGCCAGTATCCTTACCTTCTACTCACCTCTTTTCTTACTTTTGACTTCTTTTTCTCCCTGTCAATCCTCCCTGTTCAATCTTCCTCACCTCTGCAAAGGTGACAGACATGATGCAGAAAGCTCTCTTTGACTTCCTGAAGCACAGGTTTGATGGGAGGTGAGAAATACTGTCCTTTTCATGCTTTTTTCCCCCATGTGTTACTAGCATTTTAGTGATTTGTTCATTTTTTTAATGCAAGGAGGTTGATGCATGTTCAAAACTGATTTACTGGCTTTGTATCAACACTAAAATGCAGCCAGCTGTGGGGTAGCACACAGCTAACGTATTACTAGAAGTGCATGTATCTTCATATCTGCCATGTCTGTGGTAGGAGTTTTTAGGTTTAACAGAATAATTCTGCCTTAGTATCTTACCAGCCTGAAGTTACAGAAGAAATCTAGATGAAGGGTGACTGGGGCACATGGAAAGTGCCAAAATATCTTTAAAGATGGCATTACCAGGCTCAGGTTTTTAATGTTGCCCTGGGAAGCAGGCTGTGCCCCTTGTTCAGCCGGGAAGGGAACGGTGCCACCCAGTGAACAGCCCTTTCGGCAGAGCCCAACTCTGGCTTGCTGCTGGCCCTCTTTCCTCCGGAGCTCCCAAGCCACTGCTCTGCAGCCTGAGCTTGGCTGCATGTTGGGTAAATTGAACTGAGTGGATTGCTTTTTTTTTGTCAAAGAGCTGTCCAGTTCCTTTCATGTCACGGAACAGTTGAGAAAGCATGACTGCACATAAAAGTACAGTTTTATTCACAGTCATTTGGGGATATGAAAATTTCTTAACACTGGATACAATAACGCGTACTGCTGGAGCAGCTCAGCCAGCCGCTGAAGTGTGCAGACACCAAATAATAAGTGCCTCTTGGTTTTATTTTGAAATTGCTCTATTTGGGCTAGGTTCATTCCAGCACCTTTTGTGAAGTTCCAGGCTCCTTTAAAGCAAGATGTTCTTTAAATAAAACTAATCACACCCTAGCCCTGAAATAAGTATCAGAAACGGCAGATTTCAACAGAGTGCAGTAACGGTGCTTCGGATCAACACCTAAGAAAAATCAACTCTTAAATATTCTCGGTAGTCAAAAATCCTTAAAAAGGCAGTTTGAAGAAGGAAATGCTGAGAACTAAAATATAGAAAAAAGTGTGTCAGAACTTAAAAAATTGTAAGGAAGGTTCATCTTGTTCAGCTGGAACACAGAGAATATTTCCTGATGAGCTGTGAGAAGGATAATTTGGATTTCTTTGCTAGGAACATAGGCTTGGTCCATGGCATCTCTTCCTTTCCACTGGAGCTCGTCAGTAGTCGTAAGTGTCTGCTACATCTTTGGGATGTTCCGCCCTTCCTTCATCCTAGGTTGTTCAGTATATTCTAACTGTGAGAAGGAGCTTATACCATGCTAGCTAGTATATAGCAGTAAGTCAGGTTTGAAAATACCTAAAACATTGGCACTAGGGCAGTGAAAAATAATAGTGTCTGTTGTTTAGAAGAGGTGGAGCAGGATTTATGGTCAAGGTACCTTTTGGGGTGCAGCGAGGAGATGGCAGTGCTGAACTAACCCATAAACAGCTTAGACAAACTTAATGATCAACTTCTGTGCAAAATATCTCATCTTCTCCCCTATTTTTAATTGCCCAGCTCAAGTGATTTTAGCAGATTCTACAAACGTCGTGGTTGATTTAAAACCTGACAGATGAAGCACTGTACGTGGCAACCTGCAGTTAAATTTGTCATTTTTCTGAGCTGTTCGTACGTCCTGTCGGTACCTCCTCTCCCCACTCCTGAGCAGTGTGACTGCTCTGGTTCCACTGCAGCTCACTGCCTGAGCTCCGGTGCCCGTTTGCGTTAGGTGTAGGTACAGAACCGCAGCGTATGTTCCCTTCCAGCTGTTGGCATATGTCTGTCAGCGTTGCATATGCCGGCGGTAACTGAGAGTCATTGTTTTCAGTAGGAAACCATGGCAACGGGAAGTGATAAGTCATCTCCAGTTGCCACGACGTGATTGCTATGAATATATCCTTTATGAGGTATATTTTTATACCCTATATGAGAATGTACTCAGCAGAGGCCTGGTCCACGAAGATCAGCAGTGCCTAAATACAGAGAAGAAAACGTAAAGCACCCTTAGACGCACCCATTTAGGCTGCTTAATCCGATGGGAGGCAGGACTGCTCCTTGCCTTGCTCTTCTGTCTTTTCCCCCACCATGCCCTTGGTGTGCACAGAGGGGCAAAAGGGAGGGATTCTGCCTGGAGTGAGGTATTTTTTGGAAATCCTCTTGCCATTAGCAATATTGGCAACTAGATCAGGTAGAAGTGTGAAATTTCAGCATTGAAAAAGTTAAATGCCATAAGCAAGCTGATACAATTGACTTTAGCTCTGAGTAGCTTTAAAAAAATGAATTAAATTCCTTTTCAGGCACCTCCGCTGCTTCTTGGCCCTCCTGCCAACTTCTATGGCTTTGCAGTCTTTTCCTTCCCCCCTTTTTTTTCTTTTTCTCCATCTCTTCTGCAATTTTGTGACAGGTCCACATTAGCAAGAGGGAAAATGACTGTCCCAGGAGGAGCTTTTCAAAAGACTTCAGTAAGACTTGAACTAGCGGGACTCCTTCCTTACCTCTTAATACACTTGGCTTCTGTCAGCTCCTTTTGTAACTGCAACATCCTCTTCTGGCCAGTGAACTAAAGGAAAGGCTCGAGGGCTGTGTTGTGCAGACCTGCTGAAAGGAATCTGCTAAAGCTTGGCTGGCTCAAGGCATTCAGGGAATGGCTGCTGCAGAGGCGCTAACGGCATCGTTTTCTAAATACTTTGTGTTTAATCACTGTTGCATAGACCGAGCCTGACTCTATACACAGCGTAAACAAAACATAGCGAAGGCACATTTTTTTCTTAACATCTTTCAGCAACAGTGATACTTAGGATTACTTCTTACTCAGGAAGAATGAAATGCTTCTTATATCTGGCACAGTAGGTGAGCATTTGTGGTCCTTTCTGTGTTACATGTCTCTGATTCCAGCAGTCAGAGATCTAGGAGCTCCCTGAGCCAGAGGTGCCATCTGGACCACTGTGTTTTATCGTCACCTCTAGACCCATGATCCATTAATTTATCCCATTTCTTTTTTAAACTCATTTATGCTTTTGGTCTCTATTTTCTGGCAATAAATTTATTTATGTATTATGTAGAAAAATACTTGCACTTCTTTTTAACCCTCCATCTGATAATTTCACTTAGAGCTGCATAAATTCTTACGGTCTATGGAATAGCTCCTAGTCATTCCCAGCTTGCTTTCTTTTCATTATTCATGGCTCTTTGGCTCATCACAGTCCTCCTAAATGGATTTTACATGAAGTGATGATTGTGTGCTCTTTGTTTTATAACTGTTTGTCTCTTGTCAGCTCACTTGACAGATCAAGTAAAAAAATCGCCTTCCTTAAGTTAAAGAGGAGGCTCCGGCAGTACAGGTAGCTGTGGCTCCTGTTCAACTGTGAGCCAAGTCATTTAGCCCATCGGCACAGCTCCCTGTCTGGAAAAGGAGAGTGCGTGTTGGAGGACCAGTCTCCCAAAGCAAGCAGCTCTGTTCAGTGACTCACAGGCACTCAGAAATGAGTGACGTGGCCTGCTCAGATGTCCAAACATGGCCCTTCCTTACCTCTCAGCAGTGTCAGGTTTAATCAACGGTTTAACTATCTGGGAAGAGAAGTGCTGTTACTGTTATGACTCTGTTGTTCTGTATGCCCTAAGACTCACATAACTTGTAGTATTTATGGTACTGTGTAAATTCGTGTAGGAGATGACTGAGTTGGGGAGGAGAAAAGTTAACTAATGCATTAAGTAGAAAAGCAGAAACTACGTGCCAGAGTCTACAACAGCGTAGGGAATAGAAAATACTTTATAGTTATTCAGCATTTCTCTTTAGTTGTTCTTTAATGGTGACGTAACTCAGCTATAAAACATGTCTGAGTGGTATTTTACTGTATTTGCACTTTGGAATGGAATGTAGCTGTAAATCATGCACAGTGCACTGAAAATTTGATTACTGTGTTTTTGTTCTGTCCTGTGTTCTTACTCATAGGATATCAATAACTAGAGTGACAGCTGACATTTCTCTTGCTAAGAGGTCTGTTCTAAATAATCCAAGCAAGAGGGCAATAATTGAGCGGTCAAATACAAGATCCAGTTTAGGTAAGACATTGACACAGATGTAATTCTGAACATGGTTACATGCTGGAGGAAAGTGACAGGATTTCAGCCTTCAAGATGTCATCAGGTCTGCAATTTTAAATGTGTCTACAGCATTTCAATGTATAATTCTGAATTTCACATACTCAAATGGGAGACATTTGAGTCTGGGGGGGGCAACAGAGCACAGTGTACTGCGTTAGCCTTGCGTTCAGCAATTACCTGGGCTAGAGCAAGCAGTATTATAGCTGCTATTTGCAAAAGATGAGTTAGGGGCCTGCAGGCAGAATATGGGTTCAGTGCTGTTTCCTCCCAAGGTGAGCTGGCCTCACAGCTCCCTCTTCGCAGCCCTGTGCTTTTAATTCCACGTCACAAGGTGCCAAAGAGTTTTCACCTTGTCCAGCCAAGAAGGAAACATGTCGTTCCTGACCCTGGGACCATTCGACTTAATGTTGAACAGCTACAGCTTAATTTTTCTGTCTAGCCATGAGGCTCTGGGTCTTCCCACCCTCTCCTCACAGTGTCATGACTGCTGGGTTACAGTGGCCTGATGAATTTTTGTTTCTTTCACAAGGGTGGAAATTTGTGTGTAGTATATGCATGCCAATAACCTGGTCTCTGGGACAGCATCCTAGGAGGTAGGAGGAGTTGGTTTTCAGTCTTCTCAGGAAGAAAAGGCTCTTAAACCAAATTCTCTGACATCCCGAGTGACTGTTTGAACTAGAGGCATAGGTCGTAGGATGCTTCATTTCTAGTTGGCATTCTAGTACAGGAGTAGGCACGCCAAAATTAAGTGCTGCAAAGGTGAGTACTAAATCTTCTTGTGCCTGTGAACACGCATTGTTCTGTGGAACAGCTCTTAGGCAAATTAAATGCATGTGAGTTGCTGACATACAGCTCTTTTGTGCTTTGGTGGTATAACTTACAGGCTTCAATTTGTGCTGAGTTTATCTATTTAAAATTCATCACGTGCATATGAATGATTAAGAAGAGCAGAACAATGAATATCAGAAATATAATTTACATGGAAATAGATGTCTCCTTTTTCTTCAGACAAAAGCGCTTTGGTGTGAACATTGCCATTAGTGTCTTTTTAAATAATACCCTGTCAATTATTTAACGTAATTTTTTGTGGTTATAGAATTAGGAGGTCACAGTTCTGCTTTTCATACAGACTCTTGTTTAAGTTAAATCAGAATTACAATCTGAGAACAAAAAAAGTTTTAAGAAATATCTATACGTCACTTGCTGTTGAAAATAAAAAATCTTACAACTCCTAAGCTATTTAGCAGATTTGGAAAATATGCTTAAGTCTATTTTGTGTTAATAGAAACATGCATTTAATTGTACCCAATGTTTAAATACACTGATACTATAAAGGAACATAGTACGTATGTGTTTTCAGGTAACAGAATTGTCTCAAAGGTAATATTTATTGAAAAAATTGCCTTGAGTAATAGGTTATTTTATGGAAATTACATTAATTCACATATGGAGTTCATATACTGAATGAAGTATATGGAGTTCATATACAGTCTGTGAAAATAAATGGGTGATGATATTTTTGTCTAAGTAATGCTGGGGTTGAATGGCTTTCACCTGTTTTGTTTTCCTTTACTAGCTGAAGTACAGAGTGAAATTGAAAGAATCTTTGAGCTGGCAAGGTCCTTACAACTGGTTGTCCTAGATGCAGACACCATCAATCACCCTGCGCAACTTATCAAGACATCTTTAGCACCAATTATTGTCCATGTTAAAGTGTCTTCTCCAAAGGTAATGTATCTCACCCTTAAAGTACGTGCATTTGAGAGGGACCTGGAGGGAAGTGTGGGAGTGAGCAGTGTGGTATCTGCACCTGAAGAAATTAAGAGTGAGACGAAGAGAAAAAAAGTGCAATTTTTAGATCAAGGGCTTGACAAAGGAATGTCTGATGCAGTTTCTTTTTTCTGCCCTAAACCTTAACCTAGCCTTAGGCTGAGCCTTAGACGAGGCACCCACCAATTGAGTAGACAAAAAAATTCCTGAGGAGCAAATTCTTTCTGTAGCTCTCCGTTCCCCTTGGCAGTCCCTTTGCAGCCCCCTTATCCCAACACAGTTCTGGGTTGTCTGTCTACAAGCCCTAACCTTAGGCTGAGCTTCAGAGAAGACACCCCGCCCTTTGCCCAGTTCCCAGGCAGTTATTGATGGTTGTCTGTTGATCACAAACAAAGCCCGTCTGCTTTTGTCTGTGGCTTCCGCCTGGGGCGTGTTGATCCACCATCCACAGCTGGGTCTGGACCTGTGTGGCCAGGCTGCTGGCTAGCTCCTGCCATGGAGCATGAATGTGACTATTGCTCAGGAGCGCAGCACGGACCCCGCTGCGACCGTGGCTGTTAGTGCAGAAGGGGGCCTGGAGTCACGACAGAGACTCTGGGTCTCATGGAATCAGCACAGCGATGGTGGGATGCTGCCCAACACCTGCTGGAGTGACCACCGTGGCACATCAGAGATGTCTGCAGGGAGCCGTGTGCCAGTTCTTGGTGCAGGTGACCAGCAAGTGATGGCGGAGGTTCTGCTGGACCTGCTACTGGAGGGGAAAAAAGAAGAACTGGACAGAGTTGTGAAGGTCCAGGACAGCCTTGGCTGCAGCAACCATGAGGGTGGAATTTCTGGAGTGACCACCGTGGCACATCAGAGATGTCTGCAGGGAGCCGTGTGCCAGTTCTTGGTGCAGGTGACCAGCAAGTGATGGCGGAGGTTCTGCTGGACCTGCTACTGGAGGGGAAAAAAGAAGAACTGGACAGAGTTGTGAAGGTCCAGGACAGCCTTGGCTGCAGCAACCATGAGATGGTGGAATTTAAGATCCAGAGAGAACTGAGCAGTACAAATAACAGAATTGCACACCTGGACCCTAGAACTGGCTTGTTCAGGGACCTATTCAGCACGATCCCATAAAAGATTGTCTTGGATAACAAAGCAGCTCAGGAGAGCTGTGCGATCCTCATGGACAGCTTCCTCCAAGCACAGGACTGATCTGTTCCTACATGGAGCTGGGCAGGAGAGCAGTGTGGATGAACAGGGAACAGCCTGAGCTCAAACACAAAAAGGAGGCACACAGAAGATGGATGCGGGGACAGGCATCCTAGGAGGAATACATCTTGGGGAGAAGTTAAGAAAGCCAGAGTTCAGCTAGAACTAGCAAGAGATCTTAAGGGTAACAAAAAGGGCTTCTGTAAGAATGTGGCAAGCAGAAGGAAAGCTAAGAAAAGTGTGGGCCCACTGCAGTGTGTGGCAGGGACCCACAGTAGCAGAAGGCTGATCTACCACCTACCTAACTGGACATATGCAAGACCAAGGGACCAGATGGGATTCATCTGAAGGAGCAGTCTCATGCCATTGCAAAGCTGCTCTCTATTACCTTTTAAAGCTCGTAGTGATCTGGGAAGGTTCCTGATAACTGGGAAAAGGCAGATGTCACGTGCATTCTCAAGAAAGGTAAGAAGGAGAATCTGGGGAGCTACAGGCCAGTCAGTCTCACCTCAGTCCCTGGGAAGGTTATGGAGCAAATCCTCTGGGAAGCTGTTCCCCAGCCACATGCAGGACAAGAAGGGGATTGGGAGCAGCCAGCAGGGATTTACCAAGGCCAAATCATGCCTGACCAACCTGGCTGCCTTTTGTCATGAGATTATGACCCCAGCGGACAAAGGCTGTTGTTAGCCTTTACTTTAGCAAGGCTTTGATGTGGTCTCCTTGTAGTATCCTGATGGGCAAATTGTTGAGATACGGTGTGGATAAGTGTGGACTATAGAGACGTGGAAGATTGGATGGACTGCTGGGTTCAGGGTGCTGGTCAGAGGTACAAAGCCCGGCTGGCAGCTGGTTACCAGTGGTGTCACTCAGGGATCTGTAATGGGGCCAGTACAGTTCAACGTTTTTGTTAATGACCTTTGTTAATGTACAAGGTTGTGGACAATACCTAATTCTGGGGCAGGTTAGTGTGCCAGAGGGCAGGGCTATCATTTAGAGGGACCTTGGCAGGCTGGAGAAACGAGCTGACAGGAACCTCTTGGAAGTTCAGCAAAGGCAAATACCAAGTGCTGCCCCTGGACTGGAGTAGCCCCCTGCCTCAGGCCAGGCTGGGGCCGACTGGCTGGGGAGCAGCTGTGCAGCCCGGGACCTGGGGGTCTTGGTGGATAACAATTTGGACAGGAGTGAACAGTGTGCCCTTGCAGCAGAGAATCAGCCGCGTGTTGGGCTGTACGAGCAAAGATGGGTCAATCCTGGCTTAGAGAGGTGGTGGGATCTCCTTGGAAATGTTCAAAACTCAGCTGGACGAGGACCCGAGCAATCTGATCCAGCTGGCCTTATTTTGAGTGAGGGGTTGGCACAGAGACCTCTAGAGGTCCTTCTGACTTAAAAAATACTCTGTTGTTCTATGATCCTGTAATTTTCTTTGACACTTTACAGAGAAATAACTTAGGATTCCTAACTTTCCTGCCCCTTAAATTCTAGTAATGAACACAGTGGAAGAAAAAAAAAAAAGTAATATGAACTGTGTGTAAAATACCTTCTGTACCCAAAATGCACCTCAGAACAGATTGTTACAGCGTTACTGCTACACAACTTAATATGCTGCTACTGTTGTGCCACAGTCAATCCAGCAATCCAGTATAATTCTGTATATATGTAATTTTCGTAGTCCTCTAGAAGATTACATTTGTCAAAAATAACCTATTATTTCAAGTAGAATAAAGCAAAATCACCATTCACGCTGCATTTGAAATATTTGCAAGGGATCAAACGTGATGCAGAGGGAAATGTGCACAGCGTTCAGGGAGGTTATCAGAAAGGTTTGTGCTTATATTCAAGGACAATATTTTATCCATTTTGTTAAACATAATGGAGAGCTTCTGAACTTGGTAATCCTCAAATGGGATGTCAGTCTGAGCTTTATGGAGATATGCGATTCTTAAACTCACATTTTCCTCTTTTCCTCTGTCAGGTTTTGCAGCGACTGATTAAATCTAGAGGAAAGTCACAAAGTAAACACTTGAATGTTCAGTTGGTGGCAGCTGATAAACTTGCACAATGCCCACCAGTAAGTACAGAAGAAAGGCTAAAGAATTTGTGATACGTGGAGTTTTAAAGATTTCTGCTGTGTTGGTCCTTGATTATAGCTGAGTTCATACGTTATCACTTCACTTTATGGCGATTCAGACAGCCCTGCAGTTGCAACCCTTGATCAGCTTTTATTGCTAAGAAACAAGTTGTTTGATACTTTCATCCTGATTATGTCCTGTGCTGGGTTTATTGTGATCTTTGGCAAGGTGACAGGTCAAAAATGATGTGTATGGTAAAACTGATCTACTAGCACATGAGCAAATTACATCATTTGTGGAGCAGTGCTATCTTAAGGTTCTGAAGGGCCAAAGTCTCAGACTCCTGGTTTGAGAGGAGGCTGCAGAGGACTTTGCTTCAGCTGCATTGTGAGTTCAGACCCGCCATCTGTACGGTGTGAGTCGTGTGTCTGCATGCATGTGATCCCTGAGCCTCCTGACACAGCAGCGCCTGCGAGCCACTCCAGTTACCTCATCGGAGCACAGTCACCGACCATTTTATCAAAGATACTGATCACCTTCAATAACCTGCTGCTTAAGGAGCAGAGGTCCTGGATAGCTGATCAGGCAGGCAGGCGCTGTGCGGAAAAGCTGTACAGGTGTTTGGACAGGACAGCTCAAACTTGCTGTCATTTTTGAAAACCACGCCTGGTTTCTGTGACAGAGAAAGCCACTCAGTGGAAACAAACTTGGACGTGGACTTGCTTTTACGGTGTAGTAGCTGTGCGTAACGTTGGTCTGATAGTGCAGAGACTGCTGTTCGTACCAGGGGAATAATCAGGCAGTCCAGCCTATGGCTTGCTGATTGCCCATCTTTCTCATGCCGAAGAACTGTGAGTAGAAATCAGATTAACTCAGAGAAATTCAGAACAGACGCTGGGAAGGTTTCCATGATCATACTTTCTGACTTAAAATAGGCAAAGTGCTGGCAAAAGAAATGTCTTGGAACAATTTAGGAACAAATCTGGGAGTTGAGATCAGCAGAACAAATGCCCGACCCTAATGGTCAGATAATACTTTTAGAAGACTTTGCCTTGTGTTATGTAGACCTTAAAGAGATTGCCTCCATTTCAGATGGCTTTTATTCTCAATTCAAATGAAAGTAACAAAGTTCAATGGAGTAATGACCCACAAGGATTTATTTCCATGAAACTTAACTTGGTTTTGTATGCTTCTGAAGATACCAAACTTCACAGCCTCTTCCGCTCTTGTCCCCACTCGCCATAAAAAGATGATTCAGGTATTTCTGGGCCCTCCTCCTAAATTATAGCAATAGATGTTGCTTTTTAACTGTTCCCATTGGTAGGAATCGAGGCTGAGCCATGTCTCCTTTAGGCCAGTGCTTTCATGCTCCTCAGATGTCCCAGAGCTACTGTTGGTGGGAATGGTGGCTCTCCATCCAGCAGAAAGGGAGACCTGGAGAGAACTTTCTCTTTCTCTCTCCTCTTGCTCACCGGTTGACCTTTTAGGTTAGCTCCTGCCATCAGGTAGACCTTGCCTAATTGCTAGCTAGTGTGTGGAGACTGCCAGCCTCTGCTGCACTGGGGTGCCCACCTTTGCCCGTCTGGAAGAGACCTCTGTGGCCTCAGGTTTGCCCAATAATTCTGCCTTGGCTTAGCAAGAGAGTGGGGTAATTCCGCATGTACGGATCGGCTTTCTGAAAAATACCATTTCAAGCTGACTGACCCTGCTAGTGAGTTCAGGTTATGTTGGCTCAGTAGTTTCAGCCAGATACAAAATTAACAATAATTAATGTGGATCTGTGAAAACTTTTAATTTTGGTAGGTTTTTGTAGTGTTTTGGTGTATATTCAGGCTAGATTCACACTGAAATTTTAGAAAGCAGAGAAAAAAGGTAATCGGCTTGACTGAAACTTCTGTCCTCCTTATGTAAAAGCAGAATGGTTTAAGAATGTGTCCAGAATGAGAGATCTGATTCAAATTCCTCCTATGCCTGATACAGGGCAAGAATTTAAACAATCCAGAAAAGTGCTGGTGGTGGTATGTGTATGTGTGTGGGGGGGTGGCTCAATTTCTCCAGTTAAATACACTTTTTACAGTGCCCACTATGCCCCAGACAGCTTGCTGTTTCCCTGGCAGGTGTGGATTTCGCAGCCACCCTCCTGCTGTCCCTCTTGCCCCATCAGCACTACTTGCAGATGTCCAGCTGTCAAAAGTGGTAGATGGTGACTGCATATACATCCAGCTGGTTGTGTTAACTGCAAAGACCTGTAAGCTTCTGGTTACAGTAACTGTAGATCGCTTTGCTCACTGTCTTATCCTTGTTTTCCACTTCGAGCAGCACTGAAAGATGTTCAAGCCATCTTGAGTTCTTCTGGAGAACTAAGCTACATTATATTTCTCACATGTAATTTTCTACTGAATTGTTATCTCTTACAATGATGATGGAGAATTCCTGTGAGCCATTTGGGTCCCATTAGTTAAATGAAAATTGTACACTTTTCTGTAGTACAAAATAATTTCTATAAAAGCATATACCTTCCTAACTCTTCGTGGGTGTGAGCCAAGTTAAACGGAGTTGCACCTGCTCCTGTTTGAATACGGCTGGTGGTATTTACACCAAGCTGTCACTGAGCTTACACACAGAACAATCCGCTGCACATTCTTCACATTTGAAAGGTGTATTTATTTTTCCACCTGCACAGAGAAGCCTGTGCATGTTTCACAATCTTGTTTGCTCTTTATACAGTGATTTCCTCTTACTCCACTTAGGGTTGCTCACATCAGTTGAAATGAGGCAAGTAGCTGCATTGATTGAAATAAACAGCGTGCAGCAGCAGGATGCATGTAGTAGCTTGTTCGTTGTATTGTGGCGCTTAGATTGGCCATCCCCAGGATCTAGTAAACTCTGCCTTAACACCCAATCCTGTAATGGTATTTTGTTGCCTAAGGCAACAAAGTTGAGACCTCACCTGGATAAGAAAAATATTTCCAAATTTCAGAGTATCCAGATTTCAAACAGCGTGTAACCGTACTTGCTCAGAGGCTGCCTTCCACTCTGGCTTGCACCACAGCCTTCTGCAGAAACCATGTGATCAGTTGTGCACTGTTTCATTTCAAGAAAGTTATTGCTCGCTCAGAGCACTCGAAGGGAGATGACAGTCTTGGTTAAGTTTAAATTAAAGGACCAAGTTGATCCATGATTTAATTAAGTAAAAGTATACTGCTAAGACCGAAGACACTGCTGTCCGTCTTCTGCACTGTGACCTGCTTCATCTGTTTTGCAGCTCAAATTCCTGCAAGAGGAGTATTTGTTTAAAGTCAAGATACTTGAAAACCATAAAAACCTCATTTTTTTTCATTTGCTGAGAGCCAGCCTTAAGTAATCAGATGGTGCTGTATGTCTAGACATTTTAAAAATAGCTGTCTTTTTTGGCATATTTAAGTTCAGGAACTGCTTTCATTATTAATTCCTTGCTAATCTTTCACTGATGCTGTTCAAGCCAGTGCTAAGCGTGCCTGTCACTGCATGACTCTGTTAAGCAGGAACATTATATGGCTCAAAGAAACATGAACTGTACTAACCATACAGCTTTGAATACACTAGCCATATACAGTTCAGTATGATTGTTTTCTTTAACTTTTGGATTCATGCCAATGCTGAGAGAGGGTACATACCCCTCTGGTCTATTTGACGTAACCTGAACTGAAATGCATTGGTATAACTAAAAATAGCCAGTGCACCAGATACATCTACAAGTTTAAATTTCTCCTCCTTCTCAGGTACACCTCTGTCCTTGCCATTCTGTCTGGGGCATCTTTGCCCCCAGAGCCTGACCTCAGAGAGTAAGATGCAATTTGGGATTGTCCTTAGCTGTACTAACTCTGGGCTATGCCTGAGGCTCAGTCCCTCTTACATTCCCTCTCCCGAGCATTCCTGTGGGTGAGGAGGATGCCTCTGCAGTCATGACCATTTTATTTTGTGTTGCTAACAGGGGGTAATGCACCTAGAATATTTCACAGTGGTTATACAGTAAACCAAAAGAAATAGCAGAGGACAGTGGCAACTAATTTTATCTTCTCTTCAGGAAAGACCACTGCTTTAATGTATATCACTTAAGAAATACTAGTATATGGAAATGCTCATATGATAACTATTTTACGCATGTTGTAAGAAAATATTGCGGTGAATAAAATGCATTGTAAGGAGAATTGGGAAGAAACTGCTTTACTCCATGACCCTTACAAACAAGGATCTCCTTAAAAGATTCTTTCCTCCCAAACACATAGAAATAGAACAAATGCAGTTTAGCTCTGAGCAGAACTGTTAAATGCAAGAAAAAAACCTGAGTGCTTTCTCTGTAATTTATTTTCCCTGTAAAACGCTGTAGAGCCCTGGAATCGGGATCCTGCCAGTTCTGCAGCTTTTCCAGGTGACCTTCAAATGACAGCCTGAGAGAGGCTCACCATTACCAGTCCTAGTGTTATTTCACAGTTAACTGTTAAAAAGGTGACAGTTGTACTGCAACTGTTAAAAGTTCTTCTTCCCTAAATTCAATTTAATTGAGATCACTGTCAAAAGACCACGTGAAGCTACATACCGTCACAGAACTGGGCGGTTTAGGTGTGTTAGCGAGAGTGCTAGCTGTGCCATTTCTTAGAAGTGCACGAAGCTGTTACTCCATTACGAAAGGAAGCCATAGGCAGCAGTACTGGCGTTCCCATCTCTGATCTCTTTGTCTTACCTCCACCTTGCAGCACGTTTAGTTATGCCAATACAGCATTTTGTGAGCTCCCTGAATCAACTGATCCAGGTTAAAAAGAGACTTGAGAAACAGTTCCCTAGTTTAGCAGGAGGAGGTTGGAGGGTGTTGGAAGAGCGTTCATTGACCTGCTCACTGCTAAAACCCCATGCAGCTGAAAACATGCCTTGAGACAGAATTACCTTGCAACTGCAAAGCTGAGTTTTGTACAGACGGCCAGAGCTGCCCTCAAAGTGGTGGCCGGCTGTGCAAAGAATGAACAGCAGAGGAGAGCTGCTTACTGGTCTCAGACCAGAAAATGACAATATTCATTCTTTATTTAAGAAAACACATTATATTCCAAGTGTAATGTTTTAATTTCAGTATTTTCCAAAGCAAAGTATATGTAAGCAAACCACATTCTTTTACTTCCTAACTTAACTATGTTTGAATTACTAACTTCTTCCACAAATGATGATGTGAGTGATACAATGGAATATGTAGTGTATCGACATGTGTTTAAATAGCAAAGGAAGGGTGTAAAGGGTATAGATAAATAGAGGAGCAAAACAAGCAGCAATAAACACTGAATTCCACCGAAGGATGTAGTGTTAGGAGTATTCTTATTAGAAGAAAACTCCATACTTGCTGGCAGAGGAGGAAACGTTTCTCTACCATGCTGATAAGAGAGAATAAATTATAAAATAAATAAAAAGGTTTTAGTATTAAAGTAAGTTCTGGACCAGACTTGTGGGCAGCTGGATGCACAATCAAGATTTGTGATAAATTAATCATGCAGTTTTATATCTTATTCTAGAGATGTCAGCTCTGTGTATGTTGGATAGATGTATAAATATGCATGGGGGACAAGCAGCCCGTGGTTTGTATCTGTTACTCTTAACACCTGCAACACCTGCACTTATTTTTCGTTTCCTGTGCTATTTTCACAATGTTGTTTTTCCACTAAGGCGCGAGTTAAGATTAAAGATGAGGTACGAAATTTCACTGCTGAAAATATGTTTATATTTCTCTTGAGGGACTCAGTGTATGATGGTTTACTATCAGCTGTTTGTTACCAGCGTGACAAATGTTGTGCTGATAAATAATCTAAAAACATTCTCTGCAGAGCGTCCCTTTGACTTCTTGGGTAGCACAGAAGCCACATGGCTTTGAATTCCTTCCACGTTCACTGGTAAATAGCCTCTCTGTGGATTGCATGGTGAGCAGGTCTGAGGCAAGTACCAGGACTTGCGGCAGGTACTGTCCCCTGGTACACAGATTAGTAGGGAAAAAGGTCGCACCTGCATGGTCTTGCAGATTTGAGAACAGATAGGTAAGACTATCCAGACAGGCATAAATGAAGGTAGTTAAAAAACAGTGCATGGAGAAGGTCTGTGAAGAATTCCCAGCTGCAAGCATCTGAACGGCTGGATGTCACGCACCAGCCTTGCTGAAGCAGAAATACTGCTGCTAACAGAACTGCATGCTGCGTTCACTGAAGTGGAAGTGGTTTTAGGGGCATCATCACTCTGGAAATGTGTTCACAATTAGGATGAGAGAAGTATACACGAGTCCTTGGGTCTAAAACCAATGCAAGGCGCCCCTGTGTTACTCTGACATCTGGCTTCAGTTCCTATCTTAGAGCAAAATAAATTCATTAAAGGAGTCTTGTGCCTTTGAGCGTGGTAGGGCTTACGCAATGTCTAGTGAGCCTCGCTGAAAGGATACAGTGAATTCTGAGAGCTCTGGCTTTTGATCACCTTACAAACCCGCTTGTATAATTTTCTGTGGCAATCCCATGCTCTGATTCTTATTTATTGAATTTTAAAGGATTAGCGTGATGAGAATTGTTTAACATCACTTTCTTTTCATCTGTAACATTGTAATGAACCAAACTTTGTTGTTGTGATCAGGAAATGTTTGATGTAATTTTGGATGAAAATCAGCTTGAAGATGCTTGCGAACACTTGGCAGAATATCTTGAGGCATACTGGCGTGCTACTCACACCACCAGTAGCACGCCCATGACTCCTCTCCTTGGGCGAAATTTAGGATCCACTGCACTTTCACCATATCCTGCTGCAATCTCTGGATTACAGGTATGAAAATACATTTCAGCCCCAAACACCAGTGCAGATCAGGTGGGGTTTTTTTAATCTATGGGACAATAGCGTAAGATGTTTTATATAGCATAACTTACATTTGCTTCGTTAGTTATTATTCACTGTTTGGCCACTGCCAGCAGTAAGAAGGCAAGCTAAGGCCCGTAATCAGTGAAGAAGCAGTTGTCAGCTGAGTGCTGAAGCACGGTGGCTGCTCTTGCTTTAAGGGGAAACAAAATGGCTGTAAGTTTTCTGGCAAGGAGCGAGTTCTTGAGGCAGAGTTGAATGGCACTCTGTCCAGTGGTATCATAGCCATATTAGAAAACGGCCTTTTTTTAGTCTGGAAAAAATGTCACTGCACATGAGACCCTGTCAGATTGAGAATAAGCATGTACAGTATGTCACAGCAGTTGAGCTAACAGCTACTGTATTTAAGAATGCAGAACAGTGTCTGTAATGATCCCTTTTATTTCTACCCTCATAACTTCACAAAACATTCACTTTTGGGTGAAAAACTTCCATGCTTGTCTCTTGTATCAGCAAAATGCCTTCACCTTTTTGAGTTCTTTGAGTGTGAATAAAATACATTTTTTTACTCATTGAAAAAAATTCTGACCATTTTTTTCCACAGGGATAGCTCAAAAACGGCTGAACTTTGAAACTTCAAACGTGGCATGTAAATAGTCCTTAATGAGAAGTACGTGCTTTACTAAGTTTGAAAACAGAAAATGTTTTTGGTTAATAGTTACGAATGCTTGAGAAGATCAGGATTGCAGCGAACTTCTAAGTCTGAAAGTTTCAGAAGGAGTTCTGTATGTGTGTGACTTTCTAGGAGTGTGCACTTTCTAATGTATGTCAAAAGTAGAGTTGAGCAAATTACATTTAATGAATAATTCACCTGACAAATTTAACCTCTGCTCTGCTTGTAGAGTATCTGGAAGCAGGTAACAATTTTGAAGGAAATGATGCATTGTTCAGTGTTTTCAACTAACATAAAGCTGTTTTTTCTGTGAGTGAATTGCACTTCACTGAAGGTGCATGGTACTTGACACTCACATTTCTAATGCTGTGCTTGATTTTATTAGGATCAGTAAATCACTGTTTCCTGACTGGCTGAACGCACAAGCACTGTTCTATTAGTAATAACATGCACATGTAAACTGTTGTTTCCATTTTCACTTGCCTTAAAATTTCAGTTTTCCATCCCTTCATGACAATAAAATACCATCTGCAGAACATTCACCTCTTCAGTTTCATTTTGAAAACTGGGTGTATCCACAGAATTTTTTTCAGGCATTTATTTCTCTCTGATCAATGGACACCAGCAGTAACTGTGAAATGTTGCTCCATTTACTTAGGGAAAACTCACACTGAAGATGAAAATCACCCCTGTGCAGTGGGCTGGCTGAAGGTATGCATCACTTAATCCCCACTTCACCCTAATTGTGAAGGCTTAGGTGGGACTTGAATGGTGCTAGTTCTCTGCAGAGGGGTAAATTTCTCCCTGAGTGAATGATGCCCAACTAGAGACCGCAGGATTTGGCTTTCAGTGCCGCTTAAGTGTTCAGGCCCATTTAAAGAGTTCTGGTGTTTCACATGGTTATCTCGCAGTAAAGATTTCCATCATCTGAAGTGCTTGTCCACCTAGAGGTGTTATACTAATGCAAGCCTTTGGAAGGATTTGCATCAGTTTTAACTGTAATGAATGGGGTATGGTAATTAGAAAGCACTCACGCGAATCCTGGGAATTAAACTAGCTTAGGTGCTTATGATACATTAAGAATTTATACTTCTTATGACCTTGTGACTCCTTCTCGCCTGATACCTTGGGGAACTGAACACCAAAAGCCCAGAGCCTCGTGTAACAGTCACACCTGAGAATGATACAGATTTGCTGGGACAATCTGTACATACTTCACCTAATCAAGCTTTAGGAGTATCCCTTCTTTACTTGATTGTGGCTTGGACTTTAGTTTACTGAGAATTGAAACTTCTGATTTAACTTAAGTCTTTGGGCTTCGTGAAGGTCATCAGGGTGAAGTTAAATGGCATAGATACAGAAGAGTCGGAGTAAAAGAGAGGGTATATGCGACAGCATGCTCCGGCTGTGTCCCGTTGCACCGTGGGTGGTACACCTGCCAAAGCCGGTGGTCATTGGGTCCTTGGTCATCATGACCTTGCCTAAAGGGGAAGATGTCGAGGTTGAGCTGTGTGTTTTTGCAGTCCTCAATAGGAAGAGTAAATTTTATCATTGCTAACTCCTAGGGGCCAGTCGTTTGCCTTTGTGGCTGATCCCTGGTTAGCTCTAAACCCCCACAGTTTAGTCTAATTTCAGTGAATGGACTTAAATCCTATAGGTCAAGTTTTGGGGATATGTGTTTCTTAGGCTCCAGAGGATTTGCATTTTAAGTCCATTACTGCAGAAAACGTAATGCAGTTTATCCTTCCAACTGTGCTGCAGGATCAAAAGTTATTTGGGGAATAAGACCAGCATGTAACCACACCAGTGTTGTGCCACGCTTACACCTCTCAGGAGGTGAAGAGCGGGGTCGGAATGACTACACAGTCGAGGCAGGGAAACAGGAAGGTTTCTAGAAGGGAGCAGGTTGCGGCCAGAAAGGTAAATTACTACAGGGAAGATAGAGGGTGTGAGCACAGAAAGTTAAAGTTGCAATTGATTAGGTGATTATGTATCAAAATTGCATGCCTAGGTCAAATAAATATGAGAAGCATAATTTGCAAAGAAAATATGTGGACTTTGACATATAATCGCTGCTAAAACATGCTGTAAGGAAAACTTGGGGATAATGTGGTAGAAGTTGCTACCCACTAGCTGAGGGTGTGAATTTGCAGAAGGGCACCTTTCCCGTGCCAGCTGGTTACGTGGAATCTCTCAGTGAGTAACCGTGGTAGCCTCAATCCACAGAAGGAGATGGGACATCGTATCTGCTGTGCTGTAAATGTATACCTGTCTGCACAGTTACTTCCCCATGCAGACAAGCCTTCTGCTATTAATTATGCAGCTAAACAGTTGCCATACAGAGAGGGCGTAGCAACAGGAGGAAGGTTTTGTAGCACAGAGAGCATCGGCCAGAATTTCAGAGCTGAGAGGAGCAGGTGATGCTGTCTGTGCGCAGCAACCTGAGGGCACAAGAGTGCAACCGTCATGGCAGCATTCTCTTGGCAATTACAGGATCAGAAGAATGACGCTGGGTGTGTAATCTAGAGAAGGAAAAGTATTGACCGAGTTCGTTCTGAGAGTACAGATGGCTGTACTCTTGAGAGGTTTAATGTGTGGTGACAGCAAACAAAAATTTTTTTTAGGCTATTTCTTCATTGTGCCAGTTTACTGGCAGAAAAAAATACTAACTAATTTTGTTCATGTCACAAATGTCGCACATTATCATTATGGGAATGTGAGGATAGCAAAGGCTAAACCTTTTAATTAATAAGTTATCTTAAAAAAGGATTTTCTGTCAACATATTTAAAATATTTATTATGTTTTAGTTGAGAGAATTTGTTAATGTCTAATGATTTTAGCCACCCCTTAGCTGCCTGGCTAGCAGTCCATCATTTGTTTGGTCATATGAAGGTTTTTAAGTAGGGCTCAGAGCTGCACCTTGTAAAAAAACCCGAACCAAAGCAACAAACACCTTCAGATGTTTTCTAAAACCACATAAATCAATGCTTGAAATTTTCTAAGCAGAATAGAAGCATGAATGTTACGTTCATGATCAGAGAAAAGTGATAAATGCTGAATACATCAGCTCACTTTTCATGCTAAACGGCCTGTAATATTTAACAAGGTGAATACCACAAGGTACGCATCGTACTACTGCGTTTGGTCTGCTTTCAGCTCTAGGAACCAGACTATTCTTGTAACCCATTCCTGTAGCATACAGACTTTAATATAAAATGAGTAACACAAAAGTGGATGGATTCTGAAAGACCTCAGAATAAGTCTCAAACTAAAAAACGTAAAATACTCTTTGTCTGTATTAATGCTTGGATTCTTTGCAACTCATAGAGCCAGCGTATGAGGCACAGCAGCCATTCTGCAGAGAACTCTCCAATTGAGCGACGAAGTCTAATGACCTCAGATGAAAATTATCACAACGAAAGGGCTCGGAAGAGCAGGAACCGCTTGTCTTCCAGTAAGAGCAGGAACTGCTTGTCTTCCAGTTCCCAACACAGCCGAGATCACTATCCTCTAGTGGAAGAAGAATACTCTGACTCATACCAGGACACTTACAAACCCCATAGGAACCGAGGATCCCCTGGAGGATACAGCCATGATTCACGACACAGGCTTTGAGTTCAAGAACCTGGGGAAAAACAGTATTCATCAGTTGATAACTTGCCATAACGTAGCTAGGAAAAAAGAAAAAAATCATCTTAATTTGGCAGAGGTAACGCGGTTATACTGAAGTTGCACTCTGCTGTCACTTGATGTTAAGTAGGGGGCAAAAAAAAGTTACCACGCCCTTACGTTTATGCCCGATCATATAGATTGTTTTTTTGATTTTTATTTTAGTAGAGCATTTGCATTTATAGCCATACTTTTTCATGTCGTTAGATATTAGACACATCCGTTTGTAATTTAGGGTAATTATCAAGGCACTTATAAAATAATTTCCTGTGCTGGAAATTCCAAATGACCAGTTCCAGTTGGAACCAATTTATAAACCAATTCCTGTTGGAATTCGGGTGAATTGACTGGAAAGTCGACTTGATCATGTTGCAATCAATCGAAAGAAAAAAAAAAAAAAGAAAAATGAAACATCTGAAAATTACAAACCACTAGAAGCCAGAAAGTCAGCTACAGTATTTGTTTGCTGGAAGCTCAATTTACATTTAAAGTTAGAATAAAAGGATTTATTCTAACTACTTATTTCCAGAATGGCTTTTTCAGACAAACCAAATGTAAACTATTGAGAGTGCCAAATATCACAAATTATTGCAGCAGTTACAAAATACTTTCCAGTTTGAAATTATTTTTAGACCTGGCATGAATGTTGCAGCAAAATGATTTCTTTAGTTTAGCCAGTACTGACATTTTTGTTGCGGTCAGCAGTGATGAACTATGACAGGATAAGGGGAAATAGAAACAGGAAAATGAACAAACTTAAGAATAGTTTGTATGGTTAGAGGTTGAGAAGAGTCTTTTTTTTTTTTTTCCTCTCGTTTACCTGAATACAGCTAGTAGTCCCAAAATGGAACATTAGTGTATAGATACGTAATATTTTTCTCCCATTTTTAGTATTCTGCCTTTTTAAATGGAAAACAATACACTCTTCTTACCCAGTATGTAGAGTACCTACATTCCAGTACATCTGAGTACCCTCCTATATGTTACATCTTTCAAAATCCATCTTTGAATGTCTGAAAATTCCAGCATCGCGCAAGAACTCTCCAGATCGGTTTAAATTTCAGTAATGATATCTGAGGGAAGGGGGCAGGGTTAAATACTCGTAAACGATGAACATTTAAAATAACATATCGGCCGGAATTAGCTTGCAATAAAAATGGGAGTATCAGAAAAAAATCTGCTCACAGTAAAGTCGTAGAGCTGACATTTTTGATTCAAAGAACTACGATGAATCTTCAGAGATATTGCTGCCTTACTTCCCAACAACCGCTTCTTTTCACCTACTGAGTCTTCAGTTTCTTTAAATAGATAAATTTATGTGATTGGACCTTATGTCTTACATGATCAGTGAAGCCTTAGATCCAGTGTGATTGAAAAATTTACCATAATTGACCGTTTTGTACAGCCCACTAATGTCTTTAAGCAGAGACTCCTGAAATTCCCCACTGCATGCATTTTCTAAAATTGACAGAACTATGCTGAACATGCATTTTTTTAATGCAGGTTCATGTCAAAACTATTTTTTCAAAAATGAGGATCATTAACTTTTATATTTGCTTATTTTCTTCCCAAACCCTGCTAAAAGGAGGCTTTAAAAGCATGTAGCACTAAATGAATTTCCTGAATATTACGGTTTCTCCTACTTTCTGGACCAGCTGGCAAAGATCACTGGTATTTTCCACCACCGTTGAGTCTGGTTATCTTCTTGATGTTAACGATGAGAAAAGTAATTCGTCTCGTATCTGGTACAACCAAAAATGATGTACATCTCTAGCAGCATTAAAAGATTGCAGATGCATGATTAATTTTTTAAGCAACTTCACTGCCTGAAAGGCAGCCTTCAACACCACTAGATGATTCGAATGGGCCAGTTACCAAGGAAAAAATGAAAATATCTGCATCCATTGGAGTAACAGAGTTAAGAATGGGTATGACAGGCCTGATCCTGTTTCATTTTCTCGGGCTGAATGCCTGCAGATTGCATTCCAGAGCATTTAGGCTGAGAAAGCACTGCAGGATCTGGTCTGGGAATGGTAGCTTCAGCTGCCTTCTCTAACATTTTCTGCTATAGCACAGTGGAGCATACTCCAGTAATTTTTACAAACCTTTGTTACGTGTACAGCACACATACCTGCATGAGAAAGAAGGCATTAGGCGAAACATTTTTTCTATAAGCTTTAATAAGTTTCTTGTTTGTGTGCATTAAAGTATTAATTGCAAAGGATGCACTGAGATGTATAAACCTAGATTAGACAGCTGTTTATCTTTATTCTGTGGTAGCATTAGGTATCAGATCATTTAACTGCTTGAAGATATTTGCATTTTAATGGCAGGTAGCTGCGAAGCACCTACATATATTTTCTAGTAAACAAGGTTACTGCTTTATCATTTCCTAGACAAAAGTGTCATTTATTTCTAGAGCCTTTTGGAGCCTTGGTTTTAAGTCTTCCATGTCATGCTAGTAAAAGGAAAGATCGACACAACACATATGCACAAATTCCATCACCTGCAGCATCTGAAGTGCCAAAACTACTTTGTTTGTTCTAATAAAAACAAGCTTGTGAGGGAAGTCGTGTCTTGTCTTGAACGAACACATTGAGTTCCTTTATTACGTGGGTTTAAGTTTACTTTACTATTGTATGTAAGTAGTTTACCCTCTCCTCTCCCACTGCCCGTTCCATTTTAATATAAGAAATCCGTTATAAGTGGTCCAGCAGGTCTCCTTGCTTGCTGGTTTTTTTCTTCTTTGAAGATAGATACATCTTTAAGTACAAATATACCGAACGTGCTGATAGATTATTAATTTATTCTAGATACAAGCTATGGGAACTCTTTATTTTAAAAAGTAAATTATTTTTAGGAAACACGGTAATCAGTAAAAGCTGCAATGTTGATCAGGACATATTAACTCATAGTATTTGTATTAGAACTTCAGCAATGCTAGCCAGCTGTATTGTGATTTATTATGCAATGGCGCTATATAAAATTGTGAAGTTCATGTATTCCTGAATGAATACGAGTAAGACTAATTTTCCAGTCCTCATACCATTTCTTCTTGTTATTAAAATATTATTAAAGATCAGAGTTCTGTTCCTAAGCTCTGGCTTATACAGAGGATTTTTAGAAATGTTTATAAAAACTTTGTTGTTGTTGTTGTTATCTGAGTTTTTCCATTAGGACACTTTTGGATTAATGATAATTTAGCCAATACAGGTGATAACAACAATCTTAATAGCTAAAGACAATATATGTCAGTGCATTCATAAGTTTGTGAATGAATTAACAAGGTATTTTAAAAATCCTGAAGCCACTATGAAGACAATTAATTGTTAAACTTTTAATTTAAAATACTTGGGCAAATTGTATTTAACAGATGTACGGGTTCTTTTACTGGTTCCATAGATGAACATTTAGTCCATGGGATGTGCAACTCGCAACTGATTATGTTTTCTGACTGAGTATATTATGAAATTATGTTTAAAGGAATGCAACTAAAGCTGTTCTAGATCAGATTTTAGTTTATAAACAGTGGGCCAAATTAGATGATCATTTTCTAAACAGGTCGGCCTGGCAAAAATCAGTTCCTCTGCTTGAGAATGGATAGTGCAGTCTGGCCCAACACCTAGATTTTATCCCGAAAAAATCATCGTGCCATGGAAATCAGGTGGCGCCCCTGATTTTGTACTTGATAAGCAAGAGCAGTTTCTGAAGCAAGTGCTGTTGTCTCTTGCTGATCACCCTACTTCTCAGCTGCTGGGCACTCGGCCTGCTCCTGATACCGTGTCTTTTTGACTTAACTCTGATGGACCCAGATAAATTAAGCGTGCTTGGGATTGGAGGTGGCTCTGTGACTCGGCAGACACAGTGGCCAGTGATCGTACTTGGAGCGTTAGTGTTGGGTTTGCTGCAAATAGGAAAACGTTTCACTGTGTTTTCTCCAGGTTTGAAAGCTGCTTCTGAAGTTGATATTTGGGGGTTTAATCTTTTGTGCTCCTTGCTTTTAAAATAATGTTTAATACGTACTTAAGAAAGTGAAAATTACAAAAAGGAGGAAAGGGAGCTGTAGGAATAACAGGATGACGGTAGTTCCTCTGGATGTGCGTAGGCCCGTAACTTCAAGTGCAGTTTCACTGCAAATCTTCTGAATTCAGCTTGGTCTCAATACCGTAGACTTCTCTGAAACGTCCCAGAGTCTCGTATCTTCACTGAATTACCATTCTCAAAATCATATTGCTAATACTGTTACTTTATAGCATACTGATTTGGGTAAGTTAAGGCTTTCGTGAGTAATTTTTTTCTTTAAGAATGTATTAAATGCGTCCTCTGCTATATTTTGTTTTCCAAGTTCAGTGCCTATGAAGCCTGTCCTTGATTCCATGGTCGTCTTTTTTTTCTGGAGCAAAAGCAATTGGAGACCACAAAAGAAAAAAAATCAAACGCATATTTTGTAAAATACCATTTATACAAATCTGTTCTCGCTCCTAAAAAATCTGTATTTTAAAATTGGGTTGTATTACCCCAATCGGTATTAATACAAGTTTGGGTACATGGGGTTCTGCTATCATGGATTTTGTTGCAGTTACCCCTCCGTCCTTCAAATAGTGGTTCTACAGAGAGTAACAAGACTGCAGGATACTGTAACGTAGCCAATTTTAACTCTGGGGAATTAAGTTCCCACTATCTTTAAAATGATGCCAAAAGAGAGTATATTATTTGAAGAGTCATCATTTGAATAACCTTTTTTAGATTGTTATTGAAGTCCAATTTATTTTATATAGAAAAATAAAGGGATGTCTTTAAAAATAAAGGGATGTTTTAATAATGTTGTAAAATGTATTTAAGGAATTAACTTGGAGAAAGAGCTGAAAATGCTACTTAGTACTGAAATTTGTGTTAAGATCTCTTTCGTGATTTGTGGAATCCATTTAAGAAGTCAAGAGAAATACTGTAATTGAATCCATATAGAGAACCTTGGGAGAAGGTAGAAATCATTTTAAAATGTTAGTAAGAGTGTGTCACTCCTTTATTCCTTCGAAAGTGGTGAAACTGGGAGTAGCATTGGCTTGGTCTCGGTGATGTTTAGTAGACCTGCCTTTTCCCCTCAAATTTCTTGGCAGTGACTTACTATCTGGACTAGATCTTACAGATACCTACTACTGGACACAGTGTTTGGTACTGTCTTCTCCGAGAGTCAGTATTTGCGAGGTCTGACCATAAATGTCACCTACTGATTATCATATGCCTTACCAATACTTCCTGAAAAACAAAATGCAATTAAATTTAACACCACAGTCCCCTTCGATATTAATTCTACTCTGTATAAGCAGTAGAAAATCCATATAGTGAGACAATATATTGTACAGTACAGAATAATATATTTTGCCAATGATATAAAAACAGAGCAAGGAAAAAGAAGCACACTTGTAATAGCACAATTTTACAATAATTCCACTATTGCATTTGGCATTGTTTTGGAAAAAAAGGGGTAGATATTTTGATCCCATGTCAGTGGATTTATTGTATTTTTCATCAGTTTAACTTGCTGCCTGACACGTCATCAGTTTATTTCTAAGAAGCCTTGCATTTTGCATATGTGATTCATTTTTCAATAACTTTTATTCCTTCCATACTATTTAATGAAAAAAAAAAAAGAACCTTTTAAAATTAGAAAGTCCACTGCATTCATTCCTGCTAATTTCCTCCTCAAAGCTGAAATGACAGGAATAACTTCAAATTTCGGCCAACGTATAGATTTTGGCATACGACTGATGACGATACCATGAATACACTAGTAGCCCAAGGTCTGGAATGAGGTACTCCCAGTAAATAAGTTCTTGGGGCTACAGAGCTACTCGCTTTCGTGTATGGGGACGGGGAGGTGGGGGAGAGAAGAATGTTACACCGTAAGAGCCGTGGACGAGCCCACCCAAAACTTCCGCTGGTATTGCTGAGAATTTAAAACGTGAAGTAAGCCTAAGGAATGCCTGCTTAGGCCCAAGGTGTGCGTACACGTGAAACACGCCCGATTCTCTTCTCATGCAGAGAGAGAGAAAGTCAGCGATGCTGTACAAGAACAGCGTAGGAAGAGAATCAAGCAAAATGCAAATTGTATGAATGCATGGGAAATAGAGGGGTGAAGAAAGAACGTGAGAACGGTCCTTCAAACTGCAAACTGCGGACCTTGGGCTTCTCAGATCCCAGAAAATCTCTGTTTCTCACCCAAACTGGTTCCCAGTGATAGCTTGGCAGGGTTACCTCCAGCCTCACTGGGAGCCAGTTGAGAGTCACGCTGGTAAAGGCATTACTGCCTTTACTAAAAGGAAATAAATTACCCACAAATTTGTGTTTTCTGCTGATTTGCCCCTTTCTGGTTTTACTTCTATAGATACTGTATGTGTAGCATTCTACGAGGCATGCTGGGTAAAATATACTATGCAAATGTGTACAGTGTTGCATGCTTTGCTCTCCCTCTGCTTTTAGTGGCTTTCAAAGAAAAAGAAAAAAAAGGTGTTGTTATTTTTGTGATCAGAATCATTTAAAAAAGAAAATGCAGACTGCATGCCGATAGTATCCTCATTTCTATGGATTTGTTTTATGGAATTTAGATGTACAAAAATGAACTGCATTACAATAACTTTTCTACAATAAATGAAAAAACTACAAACCGTTTAAAAGTCTTTTAAGTCTCTGTATTCTGCACTCAAGATTGGAAAACAGCTCAGAAGAGTCACTTGAAAAAACCGTTCGGAGTGTTGCGGTATTTTTATTGTTGGCCGATAGCTTTTGGCAGCAGCTTCACGTGTTGGCATTTTTAGTAAAAATTAATGAGATTCTGAGGAAGGAGACGCATCTGGTCTGTGAAATGAATGATGTTTATTTTTAAATCTATCTGCTCTTAAATAGCTGCAACTCAGAAGTACATAAATACATATATCTCACTATTCCATCGAGAAGTAAAATACTTTCAGCCAACTGCTCAGTTGAAGGGCTCTCGTGAACGTTAATCGTCTTTGGATCTGGCCCTCAGTACGATCTCGTATTAATTTAAAATTGGTTCCTAGACACAAACAAGTATCGGACTGATGTGAGGTATTAAGGATTGAATGAATAATTAAAAGAAGATGAAATACTGTTTTATAGTATCTTGAAAACAAGAAAGCACTGAAAGATACTACCTCTAGCAGAGAGTTCCAGGCTACCTCTTCCAAAGAGTGAGTAACAGGAACCAGCAACGTAACAGAGATGCTGTGATCATCAAAAAAACCTGGAAGTACAGCGCTTTCAAACTCGGTACGGCAGCGGGGCACAAAGCCAGCTACACGGCAGCACGGGGTTGGACTGAGCCCCACCAGACCAGTAAGGGCACCGTGCTGCTCGGTTCCCTGCCCTACTGCCCCTCTCTTCGGGTTTGGCAGCGAACCCAAAGGTTCGTGCCGCTGCCGGAGGGAGAGCGGTGGTGGCTGTCGGCAGGGCTCGGGCACGTTTCACCCGTTGGGGCGTTCCTCTCGCATCTCTCCGGGCCTGTTGGTGCCTGCGATAACCAGTTGCACAGTGTGCTTGCTTCCTCAGCGTTTCTGTCGGGAGCCTGCCCTCGAAGGACACAAATACATTTACCAGGTAAGGTGCATGTTGGATGTGAATTAACGCCGGCTTTTACACACCTAATGCATGTGCAGGGCTTTTAAAATTCTGCTTAATTGAATTATCTTGTCTAAGTGTTCAAAATCAGATATAAGCACATGAGTTTTAATCTAAGCTGTTAATAAAGAGCTTAAGTTCTTTCAAATAAATGTAACAGAGGAGAAACGTATTCTTTTGCGTGTTTTCACATGATCCTAGAAGTTAAAAGTTCCTAAGCCACGTTATCTTGTCTGTCTTCTCTACACGTTCAGGTTTCTTCTGTGTAGAAGTATTTTCCCTCCACTGGTGAAATCCTACCTGTAGGCAGGTGACGCGCTTCTGCAGCACGGAAGTGCTCAGATGACCCACTGTCTGCCTTACGGTTGCTTGGAACAAAACATACGCAACCTAAAAAAGGCTTTTCGAATTTCCAGGAGGAAACTGTGTAACTGTATTCACGATAAGCCATGCCGATTTGAGCGCTTCTTAGAAAGCTTCCACCAGCAATGGGAAGCCCAACGTTAGCACGTTAAAAAAGCAGCGGCACAATACAGGTTAAACCAGGCTGCCATGCAGATGTCTTAAACGACAGTTCAGCTGCCAGAGGGGCCAGAGATGAAACCTCAGCAATAGCTTCCTAGTCCTAAAATACACCATATATTCATTCACCTTGTAAAAATGTCACTCCATTTTTGCAGCTGTTGGGTACGGGCAAGCCGTTGGTGGTCGGGGGTGTTAGGGGGCAGTACTATACTAGCCAGCACAGTCTGATGCGGCTCCAACAAGTGCTGGCTGCAGCTTTGTGGAAGTTGCTTCAGTAAGTCACTGGGTCTAGCAAAAAAAACTACACGGGGGAAAAAAAACGCAGTGCTCGTCTATTTAAAGAATCAAAAGAAATGGTTTAATTGAATTTTGCTACCCTCTCATGTAGTTGTGCAGCCTACCTAACCCTGGAACGAGCCCACGGGTTTCAGGCTCACTCTGTGTTTACACCAGGAGAACCCAGAATAGAAACGAATCGTATGCATCTGAAATTCTCAGCTGAGGTACGGCAGAAAGGGGGATAATTGTCGGCTAATGAATAATTAATTCCATCGCAGGCTGAATGCTGAACTTGTGGAAAGTGTATCACATTGCAGGAGCTGCTTTATCTACCTGCCAGTCACACGCCGTCCCAGTGACTGCAGCTCTAACACGGGGACTGACGGTTCCTGCTGTATACTTTGATTTCCCTTTCGCCTTCCCCCATCAGCTTCTCCAAAGCCACTGCACGCAGCTAGCAGACTTCCTTGCTTGTCCTAAGAGGAATACACCAATCTTGGTAACTCCGGCAGCTGAACAAGTATGGAAGGATATTTGTGCATTGCACTTACACGTGATAACGCATCGCTACTTTTCCAAAGTCATGCTGATTGTCACATTTGTGGTTAAAAGTTAACAATGTAATTCTAAAACAGCGAACCAAAACCATAAAGGGTAAAGAGCCTTCATATTAAGAGAGACGCTTTTTTTTCCACAGACTGCCGGTGGCTGTTTCGCAAACGAAGGTTTCACAGAGTAGCCGGAAGGTGTCTGGCCTAACTGTGTTTTTCCCCTGCCATATTAGGTAGCTGATACTGCATCGCTACTGTTAATGCTGAAAAAGGTGTAAAGCATGAACACCACGGACAGTAATACGTTTTATCTAGTTAAATTTTAAACCTGGATGACTCCAGATCCATTACTAGTGCAGTGCATGACTTATTTTTATCCTATTAAAGTGGTAACATGCCAGTTTATTATCGGGATATTTATTTTCTTCAACTGTCGAGGACCATGTATTCCCCTTCACTGCAACAGAAAGCATGAAAGCTTGCAGACGCAGACAGAAACTCAGAGATTACTACTGGCCTTGCTACTTTGACTATGGGCCAATATTGCAGCAGGGAAAATAAAAGCAAGAAGCCACTGTCAGAATAAAAGCTGCTAGAAGGAAAGAAGCAAAAAACTCTGAAATAAGAAAGGAGCGTACCATATGGGAAGGGGGCCAGATACCACGTGGAAAGATGAAAGCAGCATACCGGGCAGCAAGTAAGGAAGGCGGAGGTGGAGCTGAGCGAGTAGGTGCGTCAGCCTGCAAAAGAGTAGGGGAAAAACAGAGCCAGTGTAAGTGCCCATGTGGACAGGAAAAAGGGAGGCCGCGATGCAGGCGAGAGAACAATACAGAACGAGGAGCAAAGCCAGGAACACGTACTATCAATGACAGAAAGTTATCCTGTGTAATACTGACAGCTCTGAGGAACGTAAGTACGTCCAGAGGACTTAAGGACTTCAAGGACAGAGAGGCTTCTCCGTCCCAAGGCATCCCGTCTCAAGAGGAGCTTCTCCATCTCAAGATGGAGGCTTCTCCATCCCACGTGGGGACAGAGCACGACTCCAAGGCTGGCTCAGCCGCCACCCGGCCAAGCTTTCGAACGAAAAGGAACTCAAGTCGGATTGCTGTGGTGATAACTAGAGGAGAACCTTTTGACCTTAAAAAACAGACTTCCCACCAGTTTCACTCTTTCACACTCTCTTCCCCCAAAATTACCTTTACTTTTTCAGAGAACTGCAGGTGTGGGTTTTCTCTACCATGCCCACCAGTGGTCTTTAAAACGCAGACGTGTCCAACAGCTGCACAACCTACCTGCGGCTCCCTAGAGAACACTTTTTAAGTTACAAATCTTAGCGCCGAAAACACCCATGGCTTAAATCTGCATCCTTCCACCGGTGTCACGGCAAGACGGAACACGACTGACCCACGTAAGACTAAGCAGTTAGTAAACGCCTCGAGGCTGAAACGTAGGTGGTGCTGGGCATTAGCCCTGCTAGACAGCTTGCAGGTAACCCAAGGGAGACGCCGCGGCGTTTCTCTGTTAAATAAAGCAGTATTTTGATCAGGGAAAAGACAAATGAGGGCAAACATCCCCCGTCTTGTCTCTAGCCTATCACACAGCAGTGCGCATAGCCTATTTATTACCTGTTGGCTTTTTTTTTAAAGAAATCCCTGAGGTTTTCAACGCCGTGGCAGGTTTGGCCAGAGAAATTGGTCTTTAGGGGGCCTGGATGTTTTAAAAATAAATAAATAACGAGGTGAATGTCGAGTTTCCTCAGCCGCTGCTGCTGAGTAACGACTTTCCGAAACCGGGCCTCGGG